GCTATCGAGTCAATATGTACTAAAATCTCTGTGGAATGTTTCTGACACTTTGTTGAATCTGTGTCATAAAGGATTCAGGCACTTTTGAAGGCAAAAGAGAGTCTAAATGAGGTGTATCTAAGAAAGTCAGTGTGTGTGGCTATACCACGTGATGATATGGTAAAGATGATATCCATGAAGATCCTGTGTTTATAATAACTCACAAATATGGGACACACATCATTAAATATTGGATGATTCAACATTTTAAGGGGAAGTGTGGAAACCCTAAAGCTAGGATAGGCTCCAGCTTCCTAGTGACCTTGACTAAGATTAGATGGGTATAAAAAAAAGAATTGATGATGTCATTACAGTAATTTCTTTTACACTCTTGTCAATAATAGACGAAGAAAAGCATCTGGCAGATCGTTTCTTGTCGGCTGTTATGCAAATGACATTTACTCCTAATTCCATGTTAACTGCATGCTGCTTTCTATGTAGGTCAATGAATCACAAGTATAAAACAAGCCTTTGGATTTATTCACAATCTCCTATTTCATTCACTCGTTCAAGCTTTTATCCTCACATTTCTCACCACCTCTTGCTAGCAGAATAATGAGTTTGTCCTTCCTTCAATGTCAACCTTTCTGCAAAATTTCATAAAAAGTTCATTTTCTATTTTACTTGGTAAATAGCTGAACCGCTGAAACACCTTCATCCAAATTTAGCCCAAACCTAGACAAACCTGAAGCAAATGAAATGAAAACAGGAACTTTGGTCCTACTTGGTGGGTTGAAACACATGAGAGCGAGGAAATAAGTTGAGATGGGCTCGTGAGTTATATTGCAGTTCACCCTGCTTGCCCGACTTCCTCTTCTTCGATTGAAATTGAAAAGTATCCCTCATATTGACTTTTATGAACAGCTCTGAAAAATGATATACACAGGGTAGCAGACTGTATTCCGACTTTTATTTCGGGTTGCAAGTTACTACATTTGGATTTCAAAAACAAACTGCTCTTTTTATTCAGATCTCAAAAACATGTTCATAAAACACTCATGAAATCCAGTTCATCCCTAAATTTGTGGTCTCTAAGAGTCAGAACTGGATTTATATTGATGCTACTTCTTTCTGTGGTGAAGTGTCAAAGCAGCTTCAAGCCTTTACTTGAAGAATTGCGTTTTTCTTTTTTTTCTTCTTATAAGTAGCTTGAAGGGTTTTGAACATCTTTTTGTTGTCACATTTGAAGCACTTTTCAACTCAAGAGGGATATTGGTCAAAGAGTAATTTAGTACTTAGAGATAGTGTAAGTGGGTTGTAAAATTCTGTATAGGAACATATGACACATTCTGCATGTTCTTTGCATTTATATGCATACATTTTCTAAAAGTTCAGTTTTCCCTTCAGAGAGCACAGTTTCCTCAGTTTTTGTCAGATACTTGAACTAAACACCAAAGTTGAGTTAAGCCTTTTCACTTTTGATCAGAATCTAAAACGTTGACATAAATATGAGCAGGGATTGAGGAGATTCATGTTTGCCTGACAGACTGCAAGCAACATAGAGCTTTGATTTGAGAAGTGTTTTTTTATTGGTGTAGAAGGTCTGGTTCAGCTTAATTATAGACTCAGCTCTCACAGGAATATAGAAAGTGACTTCTAACATAAACAACATTTCAATCAAGACATTTTCTGCTTTGATCTGTACAGGTTCCTCATAGTACTGGCCTGTCTGATCCTCAGTGTCCTCTCTACCATCGACCAATTCCAAGCTCTGGCTCACACAACTCTCTTCTGGATGGTAAGTTTAGAGAAATATTCTGACATTCTTCGTGGAAAAATGAAGATGCTACTAATAACAACCCGTAACCATTAAAAACACAACAGTCATAACATAAAAAATATCACTTTTGTCATGGCAACAAATCCTTCAGGTGAAATCTCCATCCGAGTATGAAACTATTTTTGAAAACATTACAAAGTGTGACAAACTCAACTTGTATGGGATACTCTGGTAAACCTAAGCTAAAAATGCCCAAAAAAGCAATAATCATTGGCATTCAGAAAAACTGTGACAAAAAAAAAAAAAAAAACATATTAAAAACATATTGGCTTAGCAAGTTTATTTTCTTTGGAGTGATGTTAGTTCACATAGTAGCTAATTTTGATTCAATCAGTGAAAAAAAACAAAGTAGGATTTCCTTTCGATCCGCACATCCACCAATATCATTGATCTTTGTGAATTTCATCTAGATAATTAGCATCACCTCTAACTAAATGCTGTGTTGTAGAGCAAAGAATAACCCTCTTGAAACAGAGCTTGAAGGTGAATGTTAAAATCTCTGTAAGGACAGAGATTTTAACATTCTGTGAAAGAACTTCCCTTTCAGTGTAGAGTTTATATCTTTTGTGTGTGGGATTTACTCAAGGTTTTCCGGCTCCCAGCCACAGTCAGACCACTATTTGATGCTTCAAATTGCCATTATGCATGTGTTGACGGTTGTTTGTCTTCTCATTGCTTGGAGTTTGTCCTGCTTTACACTCTTGATAGGATTAATCAAGTAAATAAAAAAGATATGTGGATGAATACTCTGTAAATATGAACACTCCCTCTGTGATTGAATAAAGCTAAATTCCAATATAGAGTATGACAGTCCGAGGTAGAAAACTGACTCTTCTTCCTCAAAAAATAATTACCTATTACTTGGATGGAAATTACTTTAATAATTTTTGCAGATATTATTTGCTCAGTTGAGCTAAGATTAAGTTCATTTTAGACTTTTGTCACTGGGTTGTTAATAAGTAATATTTGAATATTATTATTATTATTATTATTATTATTATTATTATTATTATTATTGTTTTGTTTTTTCATGAACTGTATGTGGAAAATCATCATAATCAATGGAAATAACATCAGTGTGCAATTAATCTATATGATGTGTTCCATGTAGATAAATGAGCTGCTGAAGTATTATTATGAACTGTTCATAACATCCCATCTTATTGAAATACCATGGCACACAGCGACAAAAAATACACACTTTGAGTGTGAAGGTCTGTCAGCTGAACTACATGAATGAAAAACTAAAGCTCATGTAGAAGGAAAAGTACCAATTTACAAATTGTGTTGGTGCAAATTGATTGGGTAATTGTAATAGTTTAAAATGAATTGGTTAAATGTTTAATATAAAAATTACAAATATCAAATCTCATTTCCTTAAAAGTAATATTAGTGCTTAACAGGCTCAAAAATCGGACTCAAATAGAACTGTTCACATGGAACTGCACAACGCATTTTTAAAAACAATTTCAGTGTGTCCTGGTGGCTTGGCAGAGCTAACGCAACTCCTCTAAAATCAATATTTAAAGGGATCAATTTAACCCCAATCTTCTCAGTCAGGGAACAGTTGGGTGGTGGCTCCCTCAAACTCAGATGAAAGAAAACCCATTTAAGGAATAAAAAAGAGCTGAGGATTTGCTGTGTGTAGAAATGACGAATGCTGCATGTGACAAGTTCACCTTGGACTGAGAATATTTGGATGAGACGAGAACAAGTCCTTCATGAGCTGTTATAATAGAGTGCCAGATCCTAGAAGTATATTATCAGCTTCGTGAGGAAAACAGTACAACATGATTGTGTGAGCGGGATCTGTAATTAAAATGAAGAATTGTTAATTTTGTCATTATCGCATTATCAGGAAATATACATTTCCTTTGCAAAAATATTTTCCACCTTAGGTTCCCCCTCAGGAGATGTTTAATCTTCCTGTTCTTCTCGACTCAGATAATGCATAATTAATATTTACGACTGAACCTCTAGAAATCCCAGACAATCATCTGTTTCGTTCTCTGACCCAGGGGGACTGTTTAGTGCTTGGTGCTTTCTAGTTGGGAGATTTTCTCTGACCCTCCACCCCTTTCATTCATTCCTCCTCTGTGACATAAGCCTTTCTTTCTGTCTTCCTTCTTTCTTCCTTCCCACAAGGTTAACACAGACCACACTGCACTGTGCTTTGAGATGCAGCTCTGGCTGATGTGCTTTTGGTCAGATGCTTGGCAGTCTGCGCCAAAGATTTTTATTTTTTATTTTTTTCACTTTTTAGGATGCAAAATATGGACCATTTAAATAAATGTGTCAAGTTTCAGAGTGAATTGAATAAGATGTTTCACCTCAGATTTTAATTAGTAATAAAGATATTTTTTTTTACCCATTGCTGATTTCCTTTTCTTCTAAGAAATTACATAAGTGGGAGTATAAACAAAGTTTGCATGTAAAATGATGATTGATTTGGGTCAAAGATGTTGCTGTGAGGAACCCTGGGACTTGGACTCTGTGTGGGGGAAATGACTTTGGGAGGAATCCTAGATTTATTGTTCTCCTTGTGGCTTCTGTAATGAGAGAAAAGGAAGAGCAGGAGCAGAAAAAGGTGGGCCTGTGATCATTATGTGACTTAGAGGTTAGAAAGATGTATTGGTTTTTGTCTTTTTAATTGTTATATCTTTATTCACAAATATGTGTCTTTTAGTGGAATTCTGTAGAATTTTCTGGCACATTCTGAAACTTTATTTCATGTCCACATTTACCAAATCACAAACACAAACTTAAATGTATTTTATTTGTATTTTAATTGATAAAAAAAGAGATAAAAATAATCAGAAAATGAATTGAAAAGAAGATGATACATGACTTTGAGATTTTTTTTAATTGCATGACTTTTTCCAACTTGATAATCACAGTGAAATCATTAGCAATCAATATGCATCAGACTATGAATTGCCCAAGACACAAAGGAACACACAACACATCCCCGATGTTATGGTGATTAAAACGAGGTCAGAAAATCTACCAGACTCCTTGCAGCAACCATGTGCAGTGACTTCTGCTCCAACTTCCTCGATTATCTATGAAACTTCCTTCACAAGGCATTAGTGTAGCTTGGGCACCAGTGTTGTATATCTGTCAAATAGATTTCCTCTGAAATCATATAAATGGGCCAGTCTTCACAATCTTTTCAGCAACATGTCCCCCCAAGCTGCCTTTTCTCACACAGCTGTAACATAATTTCAATTTAAACACAATGTGAGTTGAAATTCAGCCGTTACAAAAGTTACCCGCATAGCTTAGATCGCCTATTTCTTTGTGTGGAGATTAAATTTATTAGTTTAACACACTTGAAGACAGTTTCATATTGACGTCTTAATTTATGATTTTGGAAAGCAGACACATCTTTATGCAACATACGTCCCCATATATCTATAAAACTGCCATAAAATAAGACAGAGAGTTAATGATATAGGCTTCTATTGTCACTATTGTAAAATACACAGCAAGGGTAAAATAAACCTCAAAACAATCTGAAGTAACTTACATTATTAAAAGATACAATTTGACTTTCAATTATGATTAAAATGTGTTGTGTTATATCTAAAATCTCCTCACTAATTTAATAAATGGGTTTTAGATTTTTGAGTTGCTAACCTTTTTTTCAAAAACAGCTGCTACTTTTAAGTTATAACTTGCAAAGAAAGCAAAGAAAATGTTTGGCCTTTTTCTTTCTTCTGTTGTAAGTTCAAAGGTATCCCTCTATATAACTCATCACACACATCTAGCAGAACATTTTCCTTCTGTGCCTTCTGTGTTAAGTTATAAAAAAGACCTAATAAAGTACAGATGAAGATATAGCTAAAAAGTCTCTGTTGGTTTGACTAATTTGGCCATTTGTGATCACACATTGGCTTTCTTTGATATCTTACAGATTTAAGTGAGTGAAAATGGTTTCTGCATATTTTTTCATCCCTCGCTGTTGGTGTGTTGCTTCTTATTTATTTATTTATTATTTTTTTGGGGGGAAAAGCAGCTTATTTTTCAACCGCAAAGTAAAACCCACCAGTGATTAAATTAGGAAATGAAGCAGTTGGCTGAACATTAGCTTCCAGGAGTACAATTAAACATATTATTCATCCAATTTTCTTTTCAAACGGTGCTATTTTATATTCATTGACTCTGATAAAGAAAGCACTATTAAGAACACTGCTGAAAAAATGTGAAGTTCAACATGGAAACATCATTTGTCAGAACCCTTTAGTGTTCTCCCATCACTCACTCCGTACATGGTGTCATCATAAAAATAGAAATTGAAGCGGCTATTGACTTTCTCTCAGTTCTTTTTCCTTACGGCTGTCAAATATTAAGACGTAGCTGGATGAAAGTGCATTTTACAAAATATCATTAGTTTCTACTCACTGGACTCACCTAGTGGTCCTTCTTTATTGCAAGGTGGCATTAAACTTGGGTGAAAATAAAATAGCTGATGTCCATTGTGTTGAATGTATTCAATCACCATGAATTAAAAAAAAAAATGAACAGGTGGAATTAGTCAGTTTTTAGACTGTATAGAATGTTCATGCTATGCAAGATTAAAAAAAAAAAAAGACAGACTGCCTGTATTTTTCCATTACTAAAAAACCCTTCCAATCTAATTAGTAGACTAATTGCTATAAAGGAAACATATGCAGGGGTTTGTCTTTTTATTTTTGTCATTTTCAATCATCCTTTTATTTTAGCAATGCTTACAAAAAAAACAAAACCTTGCCGTTTTGCACCAAATTGTTCTAATATATGACAGGAATGTTGCAAAGAATATTTCCTTGAAAGAAACAGTTGCCAGAAATATCAAAACATTCAACATCAGATGTTAAATTGCATTATGGAAAGGGCTTAAGATTTTCAGTGTCCATCAAAAAGAATAATTACTTTCCACCTGAGGAGGGCACTAATGAATCATGTTTCCACCAACGCAGAGCTTGCTCAGCACTGGCAGCAGGTGGAGTTGTGTGCATCAGCAAGGTGAAGACTATTGGACAATAGTTTTGAGAGAAGACCAGCGATTAGAAAGTTACTTCTGTCCAATAAAGTCATCTGGGAAGGACTTGAAATATGCAGTTAGTAAGATTGTACAACATAAAGCCACTGCAATCTTAATTTCTCAGATAAATTATCCACCTGAATGTTTAGAACATTTTGTCAATCATTTGCCTAGAGAAGAAAAAAGAAGAGTAATGTGTGGTCAGGCCTAGGTACTAACATATCATAGCGTTCCTTAGACCAGAGAACTGTAAATCTTGTGAGATATTCCCAGTCTGTAGTGTCCAGTATCAAATGTAGCTCAACAGTATCAAATGTAGCTGACAAAGTCAAAGTTCTCTGCTGAGGCACATGGGGAGAGAAAGCTGGCCCATGTGATCTGGTCCAACACGTTAGCTTCTGCAGCTTAAATCACCGAATAAGTTAATCATACAAGGGCATCACAATATTTGCATGTATGCTTCTGCATAGCTAAAGACCTGTCCGGGTCTTCACACTGAAAGAAATTGTCATGGATTTTTTTGAGCGGACTAATGCTCTCTAACGTATAGCAAAAATCAAGAAATTGGTTCGAGGAACGTAACTAAGTTTGAAGTCTGAGTGTGATCTCACAATTTCTCAGATCTCAACCCAATATAACAACTTACACGATGTTAGCAGCAGATACCATGATGTTATCTGCTGCTAACATCGTGGTATTGGATACCAAGGCACTCCTTTAGGGGTCTAGTGGAGTTCATGCTTTGGTGAGGTCTGTTTCCCAAAAATATCAGGATCTCCAAACTACTTGGCAGGTGGTCATTATGCTATGTTTGTTCTGTGTATAAAAGTGTTCAAACTACTTTTGTATCAGTGATAAAATGATCACCAAGTGTTCATAATGAACACTTTGGAATCTGTTTTGTTAAATGATGCACAAAAACTTGAATCACAAAGATTCTAATGTAATAAAAAGCTTTTGAAGCTTTGTATTACATTCTCATTTTATTATTTCAGATTTTATTGTTAGCTACTAAAACAATCAGAATTGAGACTGTCCATGCAAGTAGTGACCTGCCGTGCAGAAAAAAATGAGAAAAAATAAAGGACTTAAATGGCAGCTTTAGAACATGCAAGATTTCTGCTTCATTGATTAGAATTTTAGTTGGAGTCAAAGAGTTTTGGTTCACATAGCTTATTTTTCCTCTTTTTGCCAGTCAGAAGCATTGTTGTTTACATAATGTTGCCAGTTTCAATTCAGAGTATTTCATTTTGAGCAAATTCAGCTTCTAAAATTCACAAAACAGATTGTAAAAAAAATAAATAAAAATAAAACCGCCTTGCCAACACAGAGCCATCTTGCTTTAGAATGTGAATGTATTCTCCTTTCCTTGAAGGTCCAATTACTACAAACATTATTTTGTCCCCTGTGCAATAAAAAGCTCTTGATCAACTATGGCCAAGGTTAAGATATTATATAAAGTTTAACATTTAGAGTCCTTGTTATTAATTGTTAGAACTAAACGAATCTAGTTCAGTTATAAGTTGATCCAGAATTGAACTAGATTGTGTATATTATATTTTTTTTCCTAATTTATATATATATATATATATATCCTCTTTTTCCTCTTATCCTCTTAGTACTGTATAAATGCAGTACTAAGCCTTTTTCCATGATACCTAACCACAGATGTCACCTATAAAAATGACCAAGCAGCCACTAGATATCATGCACCAGTAAATCAGAATTAGCTACATATAGACAGCAGATGAATTATAGGACAATTCCATAATTTGGTGCCAGTTAAACATAAACAAATTGCTTATCTGCTGAGGGACACTCAATAATTAGGTCATATTCTGTTGCTCCATCAATCTTTTATAAAATCTATGCCTCTGTTTACATCGGGAAATCACAACCTTCAACGATAATAATTTTCTCCAAGAGGGATCCTGATAGAAAAATCAGATGAAAAACAATCTGAAGAACCCTTCTTTAAAAACAACACAATACAGACAAATTCTTTGAACAAACATGTCTTAGTCACATATTAATCAGGCACAAGTGCACTGCAGCCGAGTCAGAGAACTCATCAATGAGGTGACACGAATGGAACACTAACAAATGGCGTCTCTTCTGAGGGAGAATCAATAATCCTTAATTAATTGTGTTGACAAGATTAAGACAGTGTGAAAAGCTTTGCAGAGTGCTCACATTTATAATTTAACCATATTTGTTTTAAAGCGAAGGAGGCACAAACCTGAACAGCTGTTCAGGTGCTGTTGCACCAAGTAACCTGCAACAACATCTGATGTTTGTTTTTCTATCCTTCTGTCCCTCTGCCTCATTTGTCTAACAGGAGATCGTCCTTGTGGTGTTCTTCGGTGTGGAATATTTCGTCCGCGTTTGGTCCGCAGGCTGCCGCAGTAAATATGTTGGCATCTGGGGCCGACTGCGCTTTGCCAGGAAGCCAATATCTATTATAGGTGAAAACACAATCCCCATACACTTGTATATCTCTACCCATGCACACAAGCAGACATGTCACTCCTCACCCACTCTTGCAATTTTTAAACAATAACTGGCAATGTAGCCCGAGCCTCTTCCTAAAATGAGATAGTTGAGACAAATTCGGCATGAAATTAAAACTGTCACAGCAATATTTTCTTGCGTTTAGATTCTATTGTTGAGATTTGTGCCTCCAGGTGCTTATTCTTAAATGTGCCAGTGTGAATATTATTATTACTCACACCTTCGCATTTTACCTGATTAAAATAATTACTTTGAATTTTTAAAAAAAACCAAATGTTTTCTTTTCCTAATCTGTTTTTATCCTAAGATAAACCCCTATTGTCTTATTGATGAACAACTTCAATATGTTCATGTCCCTAACTACGGAGATTCATGTGCTTCATTATCACAGATCTGATAGTGGTTGTCGCTTCAATAGTTGTGTTGTCAGTGGGTTCGAAAGGCCAGGTTTTCGCCACCTCTGCTGTAAGGTAAGTAATTCTATGTGTTTAGGTAGAAAATGAAATACAAACTCTTTAGAGTACCAGTTTAGAGTGACATCCAGGACCCTAAGCTCTCTTCTACCTTGGTATAAATTAACAAGGTATAAGTTTATCTTGTAAATTATACTTGTAAATACTTTAGTCCTATTATGTGCAGGCATGCCTTGCAAAAGTATTTCAAAGGAATTTTGTGCAACGGATCAACACAAAGTAACATATTTGTGAAGTGAATGAAAAAGAACAAGCAAATAGAAATCTGAGCAGTCTGGAATGCAACTCCATGCAGGTCCCCAATACTTTGAAGATAATCTAACATTCATGTCCCAGTCGGATTTGCATACCAATAGGTTGAAGTATTTTCACAAACCCATTCCAGATGAGTGTCAGTAAAACATGCATTTTCAAAACTTGCCACTGCTGTATTTCGCTTGATCCACCTTCCAATCTGATCAGTTTCTTTGTTTATTCTGAAGAAGAGATTACTCACTGGGTGATGCTGCCACTACCATGTTTTATTGTAGGGATGATGTGTTAGGGGCAATGTGGATTGTTAGTTTTCTGCTTCATATAGTATATTAAAACCAGAAAGTCACATGAAGGCCTCATCTGAGCAGAGTACCCTGTGCTTGCTTTTCTACATCCTGACTATGCTTCCTCTATTTGGTATTTCAAGCTGCAAACAGGAGTTCTATCGGTTTTCTTTCAAAAACTATTTTCTTCTTGAGACTCTTAAATTAAAATCCGATTTGTGGCATCCATGACCAATATTTGTACTGTCAATAGATTCTTCCACCTGAACTATGGACATATGGATCTTTATCCACTGTTCTTATTGGCTTTTCGACTGCTGGTCTTTTTGTCTGGCCTTTCAGTTAAAGTCTATAACTAACAACTTGGTTTGAAATTGTGCCATATCTTTTTGTCCCAGCTCTGTAAGATCTTTGAAGTCTGGGGTATTATTTTAAAACCAGAACAAGTCTTCAGAATGTTATTTCTGGTGTTACCTCTGATCTGTCTGTTAACCGGACACAAATACACCACGGTTTTCAGATTTTTACTTGTAACATATCAAGTAAAACTTTCCTTTTACTTTACAGTTTGGCTCTTCTTTACATTGGTCTACAACATAAAATCCTACATAATTACTGAAAAGTTTGTGGCTGTAACTTGTCAAACTGTGGGCAAGATTATGATGTAGGAGAAGCTTTGCAAGGCAATGTAGAGCCCCAGGTTAGAGTGACAGCTGTCCTCCACATGACCCCAACCTTAAAGTCATTTGGTGCATTTCATTAGAAGCTTAATTTATGTAACATTTATTATTGCTTCCATTCTATTGTCTGCACTGGGATCTCTACTTGCAATTGGCAAACATATATTGTCAGCAGGTAAAAAGTGTTGCATTTTTCCAGAGGGATTCGCTTCCTGCAGATCCTGCGAATGCTGCACGTTGACAGGCAGGGAGGAACCTGGCGTCTCCTGGGCTCAGTTGTCTTCATCCATCGGCAGGTACAAAATCACAACTCTAAATGTGTTGTATATTTCAAGTCCACAGTCATTCCTGTCACTGGGGTTTCAGACTATTATAAATAAGCTGGGGACTCTCCATCTGGGGAGTAATAGCCTCTCCACATCATGTATTATTTTTCTCACTATGCAATGAAATGGATGGTCTTCACATGAATATACATCATACGGTCAAAAATAGTATTCAGAGCAGAGAAGTACAAGAAAAAGCTCAGTTATGAACACGGTTGGGTTTTTTAATTTTATAGACACATTAACTGGAAAGGATTATGTCTTTCTCCAGGGTGTCATTTAACCGAGACACAGAGGTGGCTGTGATTATCCCCAGTGGCCATGGTAGCTGCCTTTAATGTCCATATGAAAGTGATGAGTGATGAGCAGGGTGTCAGGAGTTTTACTCATTCAGGGCCACCTGCTGTTCTTCCTTGCCTTCATGATGGCTACATCACTTATAGCTTCTGAGGATTATCGACAGCTGCTGACTTTAGATATGAAGACAGTTAATATGGGTGCAGGGAAAATATCAGAGACCTTTTCCAAACAGAGATCGGTGATGTTGACAGCTCTGTAAAAATGTCTAAACATAAAACAAAATGTTCACAAGATGTTCACCCATCCTTTTAAAATTAACAGTGCCAGATGGTGATATAATAAGTACATTGTTGTACTTTTCTATTAATCTTGAGTAATAGCTACATCAGGTGCCTTTTTATAGGTTGTTAAAAGTTACTTATTAAAACAGTATAAATGCATAAAAAGCCAATGTAAGATAAAGCAGAAGCACACCGTGTATTAATCTTATTTATACTCATGTTATTCAAGTTATACCTTCAAAATAATCATCCTTCAAAAATTGTTACAAGGATGACTCTGTGACTCTGTGTAAGACTTATGAAGATGATGATGAAGATCTGCCTATGAAAGCCAGCCTGGGGTTTATTTGGGATTTGCATGATTCTCCATTCATGCATAGTAGGGCTGCAACGTTTCCTCGAATGATTTGAGTACCTTGATTATTAAAATTCCTCAAGGAACATTTATCTGCCTCGAAGCTTCGTTAAATTATGTTTTACTATTTAGCACACCGTGTTCCGGCTGGATCATTATTTGTGTTGGGCAGCGTTCTCTCTTCCACCTATGAGTTGTTGCTAAGTGCTAGCAGCATAACGTCCACTTTTCCATTTTATCATTTTTCGGGGAACAAATGAGCATGCTTAAATTGACTGGTGTGACAATTGGAGAATGACAGCCTTTCTCCTCCTGAGACTTGCTGGTGGCTGGTTCAAGGCAAATGGGGGGAAGAGTGCAGAAGGTGTGTTTATACAGATGAGCGTTTTGGTTGGGAAAAACTGAGCTAACGCAAAGAAACATGTTCATAAAGATGAAGAACACACCAGACAAATCAGAAAAAGATGGAGTGAAGTTTAAAGCAGTATTACATTATCAAACAATATTTCAAGTTTTGAACACATCGTGAGCACTGCTGAATCCATCATATTAAAATGTAAATAGTATATCTCAGTGGCAAGGCTACCAAGACATTGTCATCAAGTATGTTTGTTACCTAAGTGACATACATGGCAAGAAGCACATTAATCAAAGAAACAGCCAAGGTCCATGATAACTTAGCAGGATCCACTGTACTCTGAACATGACATCACTATGGTAAAACATGGTAATGTAAGCATCATGGTACAGGAAAGCTTTTTACTCACCAGGGACAAGGAAGCTGGCCAAAGTTAATGGGAAGATGGATGGAGCTAAATACAAAACGGTCCAGGAAGAAAACCTATTAGAAACTGCAGAAGACTTGAGCCTAAGATGGAAGCTTACCCTGCAGCAGGACGACAGCTGTAACACCCAGCCATGCACCATTGTTACAATGGATGGTTCAGAGCAACGCATGTTAGAATTAACCAGTCAACGTCAAAACCTCAATCTAACTCAGAGTCTGTGACAGATCTTGAAAGTTGCTGTTTGCAAATAGTATTGATGTGCCTAAGTTTGAACTATTTTGTGAAGAAGAATGGACAGAAAATGTTGCCTTTACATATGAAATGCTGATAAAGACAAACCATAAAAGACTTGCAGCTGTAACTGCAAAAAATGCATCCAGAGATGTTTTCATTCATCTCTGGATGACTGAAAACATAGGCATGGCACCCTTTAGGTTTCATCTTGTTTAATTACCAAATCTGTCCTCCTTTTTTTGAAAACAGCTGAAACCTGATGGTCACACAAAACATGGACATTTAATTCAAAACATGTTCTTCGCAGACAGAAGCTATTCACTATCCAACCCATGTTTGCAAGGCTGTGGAAAAGGAAATTTGAGGGCTTCAGCGCCAAATTACTCTCACACATATGAGCTGGACCCATAATAGGGCTCAGTCTTCACACACAAACACCAATGGCGTCTGATAGAGGAGTGTGATTACGAGAGTGACTCTCTGAGAGGCCTTATAAAACTCAGTTCTGATAAAAGGTGTTGTCTCTGTGAGAATTGAACTTTATATATCTTGTACTCATCATTTCATTTCAAATTACCTTTTTAAGAGTAACATAATCATATGATATTCCAAAGCCCCATGTAACCCCCAAAAAACCCAATGCAGTGTGTGGCTGGTTATGCTGTAGAAGTTTCTAGACTGACAATAACATTATAATGTTTTTTTGTTTTTTTTTTTGCTTGCAAATGTAATTGTCTAGTTTGGTGTCTAGCATATGGAAATGTGTGTTCAGTAGAGGTTGCCAGGTGAAAATGGCCACTACACATTGAATAATGGTTAGAAATATGTTAATCCATTAAGTTTTTACATGTTTTGTTTGTTTGTTTGTTTTTATGACAAGCAGAATTTTATCTGGGTTTATAATGTTACATTATACCAGATGGAGTAGTTTTACTCAACAGGAAGTCATTCTAAATAATTACTACTGGGGAGCATGATTCCTAAACAGATGTTAAATCGGATAGTAAGTGATTATACGTCAATGATATATGAGAGTTTTGCCTCCTGGGCAGATTGTAGTTAGTTGTTTATTGTGACTACAATAATATGGTTTAAGTTGTTTTTTTTTTTCTTTTTATTCATTGCAGCACATGGGGAGAGAGGAGTGCTCAAAGTTTCTGACTAATTGAGGGCATGAACAAAGCTGCAGGGGTAGACATTGTGTTTCTACTATTCCCTCTTTTCATTTGGTTCCTATTTTCTGCTGTTGCAGGCAGTGGTAGTAAATACTTATCCACTTAACAAGCAATACTGGTCGTGTGTGGCACCTTCCACAGTTTTTTTGTTTGTTTTTTTAGAGCTGCAGTGCAACAGCTTGAAAAGACATCAGGACATCAGCCCTGAGTAATTTTAGTCCAAGAGACTCAACACTAAAATCTACAAACATTAAAGTTGCGGAACGTTTTCTTTTTTGGAGTGTGAGGGGGCTCAGTTATCCAGTTCACAGATGGAAATGATGGCAGTACAAACACATGCACACTGATGTTTTCCTCCCTGATGAATTGATAAAATGAGAACATTCTGAGGAACCTCGTTTGCATTCTATAAAACATTTAACTTTACATTTCTTATTCTCTAGTAGTAGTTTATACTCACATGCAAACAGGTGGAGATAAGGAGGCGATGTTTTGTCTTTGACACTTTTTGCATGTTGCAGGGCTGTAGAGCAAAACCCAGAAACAGACAAGAAACAAAGTTATTGACATCAATGAAACAATAGCTGCAAAGCTATTTCTAACTATGTTTGGGTGCTTGGTTTTACAGTGACCTAGTTTAAGTCTGGACTGTAAACAGACCATTCAGACTCTAAAGTTTCCCAATGTGGCTGAATGTCTACAACTCTGCAAAGAAGAGTGTGGGCCATGATTTCTACACAGCTATGTAAGAGACTCATTGCCAGTAGCTCATTGATGGCAGTTTTCGATGCCAAGGATAGCACAGTATTGAGTTTTAGAGAGCAATAACTTTTGGTGTAGGGCCTTTAATAAATTTAATTTAATAAATCAAATAATAATTTATTTGTGACAATAAAGCAACAAATGGAAAAATCTTCATAAAGCTGTGTTGAAAGCATTGTTTTTATCATGATGTGTTTGTTGGTGAACTCTAAAATGGAGCAGGAGCTGCGAGCATGGATCATGGTGACTGTTCTATTATGAAAGAAAATGATGAAAACTTACAAAGGAGCACAGGAAGTCAGAGCACAACAAAAACAAAAAAAAAAATCCAAGAAAAACGCTAACAACAGGGTATTACAGGAGGAACCAGCAAGGAGTGTTAGGAAGAGAGGGGTTTAAAAACTGTGAGGGTGACTGCTAGAACAAAAGACCCGGGCTGATTAGCTAACAGGTTGAAGGTGTGAGCAGCTGGCAGGCTGAGGAGAGGGAGAGAGAGTACACAGGGGACTAGGAAATAAATATAAAACTAAAGAATAGCTAGGTATAAGAAACATAATTATACTAGAGTAACAAGGAATAACTAGGGACAAGTTATGCACTGGATCAAATCAGTCTGATCAAATCAAAGAAAGAAAGAGTCAGGAACACATAACAAACCTCAAAACAACCCAGCACATAACAGCTTTATCTTTTGCTTCATTTGTAAAAGCATGGACATACTTGTTGGGAGAAGTTTTGTCTATTTACTGTGATCCAAGATAATATTGAAGAACAATTTTCAATAACAACAGAATTACATCTGTCCTGATGTCATTCTGTCACCAGCACAGAATGACAGTCTGAAAATCTAAGTTGATTTTTAGACTGTTTAAGGGTTGGCAAGGGAATAAAATGCCCTTTTGAAAGGGCAGTTTTTTACCTGATGAATGACTTACATGGGATATTTTAATCTTATTCACATACCATGTTTACATGAATATTCAAATCCATATGCCATTTGGATAACACTTATATATGAGAGACCATGAGCAAATAACCTTAATAAAACTGACACCTATGGGAAGTGATAACTATCAGAGAGTAGTTTACCTTAAAAAGATATTTGGTTTAAGATTGAAATAACTATTGTTTTGCTTCATGTGTATTTCAGGAGCTGATCACTACTCTGTACATTGGGTTTCTGAGCCTGATCTTCTCTTCGTACTTTGTCTACCTGGCAGAAAAGGATGCAGCTGATAGCACAGGTTCCACTGGGTTTGGAAACTATGCAGATGCGTTGTGGTGGGGAGTGGTAAGACTACCTCTACTGGTTATGACTGTTTGTATATGTCTATAATTATGGCAAAAATTGAATCACTCCCTTGTGGTACATACGAAGAAAAGTAGCTGAGTTAATGCATGTGATTATTTGATCATCAACTAAGGTAGCAAGGAATTACTGTTGTCCATAAATCTAGGAAATGTTGTCAGGTTATTTCTGACTAATTTGAATTTCATTATTTTGGAGATAAAAACAAATAATAATAATAAAAGAAATTGAAGTGGATTTCTCAGCAAATTTACACCCAAGTCAGACAATGTAGTATTAAAAAATCCTATTAGGGAATGAAAAGAGAAATGTGCATAAAAAAAAATAACTTCAGCAGAGTGGACTAAAGTTTCCAACTACAATGTGAGATGTAAGGTTTCTCTTTCACTTTTGTCGTAAGATAAATCTTTTTGAATGATCATGGCAGTTTTCATGATCACGTCAGTTACGAGTACACAAATATGAAATGCAGCTTTTCAAATTACTATTTAAAATGATCAAGACAACGTTTCAGTAACCAGACCTTTACCAGTCACTTTTTACAAGAAATACACTGTTTTTCAAAGTGTATTTTTAACATTTGTAATGTTATTTAAGTGACTGCTCATCTGTTGGAGTTTTTGTGCTCCCATGTTACACTTCTTGTCTGGCAGTTCTAAACCCGGCAGCAGGGTGTTGTTCTTAGGAGATTACCATCTGCTTAATCACAGAGTCTTCAATTTGCAAACACCATCTCATCATTACAATAGTCTTGTGACTCAACTGAGCCAGAGCCTCATCTTTGGTGCATATTCACTCAGTGTAAAAAGATAATGGAACACACAGAGCTACATTTTAAACTTGTTTCAATTTATACAATGTTTGATCAAATAAAAATAAAACATGCTGCAATTAGGACTGCACTGATTTGTAACACACCTTTTAACAATTACAACAGTTTAAACATAGAAGCTGCTAATCTTTATCGAGGCATTTCTCTATATGACCCATAGCTAAGTGGGTTGATTTAAATAAAAATAAGCAGCATCAAAATAATGCAGTTCCTTACTAATAACTCCTTTCATAATGTAAAATTAATCTGCATTATTATCTCATTTAAAAAGACACACATTAACCACTTGAGGAAATATTGAAGCTGCGTCTTCACAGCATCCACTGTCCAAATTATGATTTATTGCGGTGTGGATAACATTTTGCTTTTGCATAAACAAGCTGGTTACTTGTGCGATTCACATTGCAGAGCAAGCAAATAAAATGCCAAGTTGCTAAAGATGTACCGAACAGATTATGTCACTTCGCTGCAGAGAGGCATTTTTTTATTTTTTTTTTATTTTTTTGGCGATTCCCCATTAAAATTTGCTTTTTATTGCTCAATGAATTTCATTTACTGCCTCTTTCTCACTAGTTTGGGATTTATCTAGTCGCTAACGGCAGATTGAAGAGTGTTGAATGTCTAATTTCATAAGGAAAATAATTTTTTTGTCTGTGTTGAACAGATGGCGTAATTTTAAAGCATATGAAATGAATAAGCTTAAAGAAAGTTTTCAACAGGTTAACTGTCACTGTGAGTGTTTCAAACCATGCTTTGACAACATACATATTCATTATTTGTTGTTAAGATGACATGACTCTGAAAGTTACATCCCTAATTGAACCCTTCCTATAATTATCAGTCAGATGTTTTCATGTTTTAATTGATGAAATTTGTTTGGTAATGAGCTTCAAGGCTTTTCTGGCCAGTTGGCCTACTTGCCATTACCCTAATATTTAGCTGCCTCCATTGATTGTCAGTCAGAGTAAAATCAGGACTTTGAAGCTTTAATATTACTCCCAGTCAAAAGAAACCTGTTGGCTCAGTCATAGATTGACTTTAGTTAACTGACCACTCCTGGGAATGTTCACCAATACTTCACGTTTTCTCTATTTGTGGGTTATAACTCCTGCTATAATTCACTAAGTTACAAATAACTTTGTAACTTTTACAGACTGTTAGAGGTCAAGGACAATATTTCTCATCTGTTCTTGAATTCCTTTTGATCTAAGCAGGATGAGGTATTTATTATTATCTCCTTATTATTTTAAAGATTCTACATCTGTGATTTATTAACTCCAAATGTGTGGCTGCGTGGCTAACAAAGTTAATATATCATTAATAATTGTTTATATTCATATTAATTATAGTCAATTCATGATTTAGAAGAGGGCGTTTCCTTTTTCACATAGAAACAGGGACGTTTTTGGATTGCTCTTTTCCCTTGGTGAGTGAAATTATTTGAAAACCGGATATGTATGCTGTAGCTCATATGAAAGTTTTTTTTTGATGAACTGAAACATGTAACTGTGACTAAAACCAGAACCTTTATCTGTTGGATTTACCTACCTTGTAGCTGGGAATGGCTTCACTTATATTGTTGAATAATAGATTTACCTCTGATCTTTGATTACGATCATATTTTTAAAATATTGTTCTTTTTAAGGAACACTTGAGGCTGTATTTCTTCAACTGTGAAAGGTCAAACACAGTCTGTGTTTTCTCTGTGGCTTTGTTGTTGAAGTAGGAGTGTGTAAACTCGTGGGTAGATCCAGTGGGCTGCTAATGCAGGCACTAACACAAATAGTGAAGAGAACATGGGATGAACTTCAGCTTTCTAAAAACTTAAGGGACTCTTTTAAAAGCACACACATGTTCAATTGAGTCGATAACCTTTCTTACATAAATACAAGTTTCGGTTGATGGATTTTTTTTTTTTTATCCGTTTTTACACACAGTGATTTTGTTTTCGGTTCTTCTACAGCAGAAACATGTGAGAGAGAACCAACGAGGTAAAAGTTCAATTTTGTGGTCAGGAAGACTGGTAATTTATTACAAAGACCAAGAGTTGTCTAGAGTATTTTCCTCAAAAATAAGTTATGCTGTAGTTCTTCAGGAAGTAACTGTAACCTACACAAATAGCAAACCCATACAACATAAAATGAGTGTTAATAATGCAGAACCCATGCTAGACCTTGACAGTTTTGGCCTAAGGCCTATAAACTATTTCTGTTTTTTGCCTTTTGACCATCAATGCAATATTTTATATTTTATATTTATATCTTCATGGTCAGAAAGAAAAAAAATGGTTTAGAGTCTAAGAGCAACCTGTAGCCATGAAGCCATCTAATTTAGGCCTTTACAAAATTGACAATTAACTTTGTAATGGTTGGAAGGCCATTGAAATCAGGTCACCACAGTTGTTACATATTCCACTCTTGCTTCCTTATTCCTCTTACAATATAGGCGTGTGTCCATAATAGCTGCAGACCAAGTAACAAGTAAGTTGTGCTTTTACAATTATGAGAAATCTATACTGAAACCAACTTTTTCTTATCCTGGAGATTTTAATGAAGAGGTATGTGTTGTAACCGTTAATATAAGAAAAACTTTTAATGTAATAACTGCACATGATGTAATAATTTGGCCCTTTTAAATGGAATAAAGTGAATTTTAAAATGCAATTAAACATTTGCTTTTCACAGATTATCTGTCTCATAGATTACTGTCATGACATAGTGACAATTTCAACAAATATCTAAAAAATATATATATATATTTTTTATAAAAGTTATATTATGCAGCTATAACTTGCAGCTGTAGTGACATGATAGTATGTTACTTGTTCAAAAAACATTTTACATTATTGGAAAGCTATTACTTCATTGGCCTCGTTATGTTTAAGTCGGCCATGATTTTGTTTTTGGTAGTTATTTTACAATATTATCCATTATTATTTTATTTGGTTGTTGCCAGATGTAAGCAGCATGGAAATTTCCCATGCAAACTGCTGGACTGCAGTGTCTCTCTAGTGGCTTGTGACCAAAGTCTGCATCGTTACCTACCATATTGGCCGATGGGTGGGGGTATTTCCCAGCAGATTACTGTGTTACAGATCCCAAATATCAAGAGGCAGTTTATTCAGCACACTGCCTTAGTCAGCTATGGAAGAACTGCTGACAGACAACTAATAAACCCAGTTCAATTCAGAGACATTGTTATGGAAGTGGTCAAAAACAAAATATCTCTTTTTGACATGTGTAAATGCTCCATGTATGCCTAAATAATGAAATATTTTATTGAATAGGAGAAGATCAGCATTGTAATGAAGGCAGGACAGGTATATTGCCTCTTACAATCAATTTAAATAATTCATAGATGTAGTAAACACATAGATATTTTAAGGAGAAAGGATATTCAGGTGTTATAATTATCACCTTGAACTAGACGTGTGCTTCTGATCTAGCCAGCAATGTGATTATTGAGAGAGAAAAGGTACAGCATATTTGAAGAGCATTCATTCAGTGTCTTGACCCTTCAGTATTTAAAAAAAAAGTGATGTGATGACCAAAACCTTTTGATCAACATTTAAAACATCTTATGAATGTTGACCCAACCAATAACAAATCCATTATTAAAACAGAGCCACAAAATGTTCATTAAAAGCCATATAAGAGATACAGCAAGCACATAGTCTGGTCAGGTGGCAGAAAAATGTAACGTTTTTGGCTTATTTTCAAATCATATATGTGGAGTAAACTAAGTTTACAGGTCACCCTAAACATAATATTAACATTGTGGGACATGGTCAGGTCAGCAAAGTACTGGACAAATCTCTCAGAGCTGAGTAGAGGATGACAGAGCTACCAGGTATTAGAGGCTGTGGAACACCTGAAACTGGGACAGATGTTCTCATATAAGCAGGACAATGGCCCTGGACATGAAGCCAGAGCCAGAATGAAATGGTTCAGATCAACCTATATTTATGCATTTGAATAAGAAAACCAAGTCTGCATCTAACTGAGAACATGTTGCAAGACTTGTAAATCGATGTGCACTGCTAATTCTCACAGATGGTATCCAGCCCTTCTGCCATTCAAGTCAGCTTGAGTTGTTTTGCGATGAAGAGTGGACTAAAATGCACAACTATGCACTTCTTTGTGCAAGTTAGTTTATCATATACAATAAAAAGATAATAGACTGAAGTTTTTGGTCATAGTGTAACAGAATGTGAAAAATGTCAAGGGAATCCATGTCCGGTGCACTGTAGGTCAACCATGGTGATGTGACAACTGGCAACTAACATAAGCTGTTCTTTTAATCTTCACTTAGGAAACCTAATGTCCTAGTGTGAGGTAGTGTAGTCAAAGGGTCAAAACAGGTGAACAGAAAACAGCATCTGGTGGTGGTTCCAGGATCTTCTTGTCATTTTTATTGTTTAGCATGTTTTAGGCTCTGAAATCTATCTCAAGCATCTGAAATCTTAGGAGGTGATTCAGTTACTGGATTCAAGTGTGTTGGACCAGGGAGACATCTAAGAGTGGCAGGACACCGGCCCTCGAGGACCAGGATTGCCCACCCCTGGACTATACCATAATAGAACAGGTCAAACCAAATAACACATTCTAAACAAAGAAACAGGATTAAGATTATTAATATAATTTACAAACTCATCTATATAGCTGAATAGTCTGCAAAATAAAACATTTAATACCAGGCAACTCAAAAGCTGACTTTAAAGAAAAACAAACAATATAATACAAAAAACCTTCCATTTGGTAGAACCCATTGATGCGATCAGTGACATCAGCCACCCATTTAAGCAGGAAATACTGGGCCGGCCCCTCCCACACATTTGCTCCAGCTGCAGCATCTAAAAGGGACAAACAATGGTGAGTGAAGAGAAACAAGGAAGTAATTTACCAGAAATGTACTAAAAAAAAAAAAAAAAAAAAACATTCATATTCATCTAAAGCTTTAGAAGTTGGTTTTAAATAAAAACATATGCACGGATGTAGACTACAACATAATACAAACGCAAGATAGTGAGTGAAGAACAGTTATTACAGAAATAAATTAAAGCATTATGACCAACTATAGACTATAGAGATATTAACTAAATCAGAAATATGTATAAGGGGCAAGAGGAAAACAAAAACTGAACCTCTTTGTCAGATGACTGAACACCTGTGAAGAACAACCACATAAGAACCGCAATAAATTTTACTTGCATGATTGTATTAGTGGTTTTAAAACAAAAAATCTCTTGTATGGATAAACATTTTTTTCTTCTATTTTTCTGTTTTAAAGGTGACTGTAACTACAATTGGCTACGGAGACAAAGTGCCTCAAACCTGGATTGGGAAGACCATTGCTTCCTGCTTTTCTGTGTTTGCCATATCGTTTTTTGCTCTGCCTGCAGTAAGTGGATGCACTCAGTATGATTTGTTGTTTTGTGAAAATGCAAATTATGGATATCTTCATTGTGAGAGTTTGGTAGTTAAATTATTGTAAGCCATAAGCCATAATTATGGAGAAAAGAAAATTGAATACAACAGACAACACAGCTAACATAACTAACAACAGTGTAACTGTCTGTCAGAGATGGATTGCCTATTCCACCGACAGATGACGGCAAGATAAAAACCATGAGTCAAAATAATTTACATGCGACTGAAGATCACAGGTGTTTTGTCTCTCTGTGACTCATAAGTCACTAAATTATAGACTCCCAGGCATGTCAATCAAGCTAGCTTTGCTCCCAAACATTTCTCTGTTTGCTCTCTATAACGCTGATCAGAAGAAATTTACCTGGGGGAAAAGTGTATTGACATTCATTATGGGAACTTATGGTTGGATATTGGAGCCTGCACTTTTGAGATATTGCATGTAAACACACATTTCCTTTTTTTTATTTAGTACAAAATGAACAAAGGTCTATTGAAGTAGACTAATATTGAACAGGAACACTAAATAAGCTGAAACTAATCAATAGCTCAGGCATTTGTGACTGACTGGTTGCTGACCCTTTATGACAATAAATTAATTATACAGCACAGCCATGTTTCTAAATACCAGAAATTTTAAGGTCAATTTCTGTTCATGTACAGCAACTGAAATAATTATTGAACACTCCAAGCTATCCACACTTAAAAAAGAATCGAGCAAAATAATCCACAAATTAAGGCTTGGGTAAAAAGTTTTTAAAAACACATGGATTATGTATTAAAGACATGAAGAATATAATATGCAAAAAGCTATAGAAGGGCTGCTTTGTGCTCTGTTTAACATGTTTTGATCTCACCTTTAGTTTATTCTGCTACAGTTTTTGTTTGGCAGTTGCATTTAAATGATATTCATCTTAGTTTTACAAGCTTTATGTGAACATTAAATGGCTCAGGGGCTTGTCACACATTGCATGAAACAGCTCCAGTTTAAGAGAATCTAGATTTCAAATATCTGATGTGGATTTGAAACCTTGATGTGGATGATATGTTCTGAATAGTTGCTCTCATATGAAGAGTCAGTTGTTACAAAAAAAATAGCAAAAAACACTATTTTATTTGTTTTACAGTGACAACTACCTTATACTCAGTTGTTGTTTTTAAAAATTACCAAATGCTTGTCCAAAAGTAATGTAAACTGAAAAGAGATATGTTTTTTTTTTCTTTTTTATTTAAAATAATTATTAAGTTGAGATGACATAAATTAATCGATTTTGTCAGTAATTATTTTAGTCATTGTCAAGTCTCTAAAAGGTAAAAAAAAGACTTACAAAAGTGTTTAAATCCACGTTTGTGTTCTTTTTTCTATCAGTGTTTGCATGACTAGGAAAATGAAATGTTTTTCCTATAAACATTTCATGTTTTCTCAGTTTTTGGCCCACATTCATGCTCATATCTGTGGGATTAAAATGGAATTAATAAGCAACAAGGAAAAAAAAAATCACTCTGTTGTTGTTCACAGGGAATTTTAGGTTCTGGCTTTGCCCTGAAGGTGCAGCAAAAGCAAAGGCAGAAGCACTTCAACAGGCAGATTCCTGCAGCTGCCTGTCTCATACAGGTATTAAAAAAAACCCTCAAAGGAAACCTCAGAGAAGCTGGGGGACTGAATAGTCTCAGAGCCCAACTTTTATTACTGACAGAAAACTTTCCTGCATCTTGTTCTTTCTTTTTTTAAAAAAATATGGTCAAGGATGAAGTGTATCAATCATTCCAATACATTTCTATTTCCATGTCTCCACAGACATCGTGGAGATGTTTTGCAGTGGATAACTTTGATTCTGCTACATTCAAGCTGTTTTTGAGAAAGAAATCCGACATTCCTGCATCCTCTCTTTACAGCCCGAAGCAGAAAAAATCGGTTAGTAATCATTTTAAGGATTTCACTCCTCTTCACTTCCTACCATAATTTCAGATACACAAAGTTAAATAATGCAGTTTGAAGGGAATAACCCTGGAATGCTGTGGATTGTGAATTAAGACCAGTTCAAGTGTGAAGGTGTATCTCTTCTTTTTTTTTTTTGCTGAATGTTTTTATTTTACTTCATGAATATTTTTCTGTGCTGTGAAATAAGATAAAGAAATAGCACAGCAAGTGGAGCACCATCACCAACTACATTACATAGACTTCAGGGGGTTGAATAAAAATACTGAGTAATTCAAATCCCTTGATACTCTTCAAACTGTGTCATACATTCCATTTCTTGTGGCTTGGATTTAAAAAAAAAAAGTCATACTGGATTATGCTGATGACTTGTGACATTTAATTATTTTTCTTGAGGTAAGTGCATGTAAGGGAGCAATGTTTGTATAGGTTTCAAAAAGACAGAGAAAACATGTTTCTATATAGGATTGTTCTGGTTTTGCTTTTATGTCTTAATTACTTATTTAAGCTCATCAAGCAGGTCTTATTGTCACATAGAGATATACCGAGTAGATACAAAATATATATTTTTTTATTTAGGTGAAGAAAACTATTGATACCAATTCACTCAATAGCATTCAACTTGTCTTTGTATTCCTTGATACTTTGCTTTTTTCTTACAAAATAATTTGACATTCACAACTATATATTCGCTTACTGATCAGCCAAATGCTGATGATTTTTTCCTGCTTTTTCGTCCTTTTATGACCAAAATTTCTCTGACGAGCAATGACGTGTCAAAAGAAGATCTGGATGGGTCACAAAGTGTTTTGTCCTATAGATCTTTTTTGCCTGGGGGCGCCTGGGTGGGTACTCAGTGGATGTGTTACTTACAGCTTCTGTCATTAGATCCCATCAGACTAAGCTATTAAGCAGCTTCACATGTCTCATTGATGTCCTGCTGAGAGGGACAGGTAGGGGGTTACAACTGCTTTAGGCGAGTACTGTAAAAGTCAGAGGTATGACTTATCTTCAAAAATGTTTAAGTGAAAAAAATAAGTGTTGGTCTAAGCGTCCTTTCCACTGCAACAAGATATACCAGGCTCACTATATCTGTCAACGGTTTTAATGTTTTATATATTTCAAATGTTGTTACTACTGTGAGTGTTTTTGTTCCAGGGGTCAAAAATGTCACCAGTACATAAGCAAAATGACAAAATAGCTTATTTTTTGACACAAGGTCAACTTTGTTTTGGGGTTATGTCATTTAAATGTCAGAGAAACACATTTGTTTACTTGTGCAGGTGAAGATGAGGAGGAAGCTGAAGAGTACTGACAAGGACAATGGTCCAGCTTCTCCCACCGTCCCCAGCATCACCTGTGACTCTGTGTTTGACAGCGGAAGGGAGCTAAGTTCAGATGTTTACAGCACTGTCGGCACAGGTACTAAAACAGAACATAGAAAACATAAAGGTTACACCACAGCATTTAAAAAAAAATGTTGGACCCCTATTCAAGTTTAGAATATTGAATATTTACTTCAGGCAATTTATTACTGGAAACCTAATGTTTTGACAAATAATATTAATCCATTTGTATTTATTTTCATTGCAATATACACACGTGTCTACTAAAATAGCGTGTTTTGTGATGTAAAAATAAAACCAAGATGTGGGAAAATATGTTACGATCTGATAACACCAAGGTTGGACTTTTTGACCATATTTTTAAATAAAATGTTTGAACACAATTTACACCAAGAAACCCCCAATGAAGCATGATGGTGGCAGCATCATTTTCTAGGGCTATTTTGTTCATGTGCAACTGGGGCTTTAGTCATTGTGTAGGGAATTGTGAACAATCTCAAATACCATTCAATGCTGGCACAAAACCTAAATGTAGTTTTATTTTTCCTATCAATAAGAAGTTGAACACTTTAAGCAAATCATAGGTGTACAGTTCCACAAATTAGCAATATTATTCTGAGAATCAGGTAATTAATTTGAATATCAATTTGAATATCTCTATGAACATAAATACAGTTCTCAGTAATTCATGATTTACAAAAGTCATAAATACTTTTTTTTCACATATAACTTGCACTTCATATGAAATGTTTTTTTATACACAAACACTAATGTTTTATTTTGTGGCCCATTTTCACTAGAGACATTTTTACATCTGAATTTCATCATCTCTCTTTTTTTTTTTTTTTAAACATCATTTTTGGCATTTAGACACTAACCCAGTTCCATTTGCTGCAGTTTTGAAAGTGAAATGTTTCCCCCATTCCTCTTTGACATTCATTTCTGGATTTATTTATTGCTGCTGTTTTTTGTACCTCAAGCAGTATATGTTTTAAAAGATAAGCAAAGTTCAAGACACAGTTCGGTAAACACTGTTCACTTTGAATGACCTTTTGAAGTGATTTTTTTTCCAGTTCTTTGATTTTGTAGCAGATGTACAGATGGACATTCTTATCATGTTTTGAAGAAGTTCTTCTCTCTCTTAAAAAGATCCAAAAGGAAAAAGGGAAAAATCATCTTCATTATTCACAAACCCACATATAGGGAATTAATGGATGGGTCTCTTCACAGAGGAATAAAATAAGATATTAGAGGGGACTGTCTGTTTCAAAAGCAGATAAATATGGATACTTTTAGCACGTCCATAGCATGTAACACCTAATTGGATGATGCTCTTTGTGGTGCCTAGCTGGCGACCTCTTTCTTTTATGCCAGGCGCTAACATGAAAAGCTGCTTAGATGTCTGACTGCGGCACCAACACCGGCGTGAAACTGCAAATGGTTTTTGCTTTGCACTCAGTTCTCTGTGAAACAGTAGAATTTAATATTCCCTGTTGTACAGATGTATATGCTGACTGAATGTTCACAGTGAATCAGTGTCTTTGATAAGACGCCAAATTGATGCAAGAGGTCAGGCTCTATGTCTAACATCTATGGCATGCTGCTTTTAACTTTAATACATTTTCTAAATTACCACTGCTGTGTGAGGATGGATGCTGACTGGATGACGACAGAGCTTCCCATGGCTCTCTGCTAGCAGGACCCTTTTAGGGTATTTTGCATAGGCTTTTTTGTTTAATAGCAACATAGATATCTGTAATTTCACATTCTGTCAGTTGTCAAGATATCAAACTGGTGCTCAATTCAAAAGATTATAAATGGTGAAACTTTATGCTTAATTAGCTGGCTGCAGTAATATATTCTGCTTATATTTACCTCATTAATATTTTCATCTAGAGTTATTTTGGTGTAAAATTTGGTTCAGGAAATAGAGATGAAAAATGTATTTTATCAGTGGTATAAATTTTTCTTTTATTTCTATAACTGTAAAGAGAATTGATGATGCAGAGAGTTGAGGCACCTTTTTTTCCTTTTTCTTTTTTTCTTTTTTTTTTTGATAAATGTATTTCTGATTGTTCCATTCTCTTACTTTTGTCTTTCTTCACACTTCTGCTGTTATGTTTGTGTATCTCATTTGGCAGGAAGCCAGCCACTTGGAGGATGTGGTGAGCTGCTGTTAGTGTCTATGTTCTGCATGTGTCCTCTTCTTTTGGCTTTGACTGCTTTCCCTTATCTTATTTATACCACTAATAGAAAAATAGAAATGTGTAGCCAATGCTGTATTTTTAAGCAACACAGTTGCAGTTATGCTCCTGTTTGTGTGTGCCGTAGACCGCCAGCAGTCATGGACATCATTGTCATCTCTGCAGTTCAGCTCGTCACCCCCAGGTAACTTTTTGTATTTCCTTTCACATTCATCATCATCAATGACGCCTCTGTGGTGGCACGGGTTGGTGGGTTCACTTGACCCATTTGTCTTTATTTCTGAGGATAATTAAAAAACTCTGCATGTTAAGGACTCTAACACAACTCCTTGACAAGCAGATTATGCAGTTTTCTTGACTCTGTAAATGAGAATAAAAATCAGCTTGTCGAGAGGAAATGGCATGTCAAGTTACGTTTGTTTTAGCTTTCAGCACAATTAGGCCCTTTCCTTTTCAAACTTGGCTAAAGCAGAGGCACTTCACAGCATTTTATTCTTCACACATCAAAATCATGAACCTGTTGTGTCACACTTCTCTAACTTGTGTGGTTGCTCTTAGTGCAATAATCAATGTGTTTCTTTGCAGCCTTCCTCAGCAACAGTCAGAGCTCTGCATTAATTAATACTCGACTAATTAATTTGCGTTTCTATTTCCCACAAAAATGACAACCCCACGTGACCAATTATTGTGATAAAACTGTTATACGTTAGGCTTCATCAAAGAGAAAGACGTGCTTTACTCTCAGTGGGGTTTCTCATAAGTACGGAAACCTTAAGACATACTGACAGGCTTAGTGTTTAGGAGGAAAATAAGCTTTAAAAAATGACTTTGTTGTTTACTCTTTGACTCCAAACATTCCTAGAATTTTACATTCTACTTTAAATTACTGGAAAAGACAAAAAATATTGCATGAAATGAATGGGTTTTTTTGCAGAAAAAATTTCTGTAATGACTATTTGCAGAGAAGCTTTTGATCTGAATACTGAGGTTGACATAAGGTCTAGTATGCATGATTTGGTGTCATCTCAGAGTGCAAACGGGAAATTGAAAGTAGCTGAATGCCGTCCACCTACTCCCAAACTGTGGTGGCCGTGAAACATGCAGAAAAAGGTGGGGGGGGAGAAATAGAAAGAACCACTTAAAAGTCAGTGTTTGTGTCTGTGTATCTTTTTCCTTCTGGGCTGCTGCAGAGATGTGGTGCAGCATGGCAAAAGGCCAAGCAGAGTGAAGGCATCATACAAACATGATGATTTTTACACAATTGAGCATAGTCACTGTTAAATTTGTTTTTTCTTCCAATAACTTACTTTAAATATTACACACTTGTATTTTGTGCTCATAGTTTGGTATCTAAATCAACAGATTATTTAAGCTGATGTTTATCATATTTTGTTATTGCATTAGCTGTATTTGAACAGCTCTCAATGACTTCGTCTTTCAAATGAGAGCGATATGAGGTGAAAAAGATCAATTTCCAGCATTATTTCATTGTATATAGCAGATGGAAATAAAAATGATTTCCCCTTTCTGTAGCATCAGGTTTTTAAAATTAAGATGGAGCTGTAGAACAGTGCATCCAACTTACTGCGAGATATTCATAAAATAGGACAGATTTTAATTAACAGAACCTAGATATCTTGATGGGATACATGATATCATGAACTCAATCAAATACCTCATCTGACATGCCAGATTAGTTCCTACACACAAGCATTCTGGAAGAACCCTGAGGAAATGTCCAGGACAATAAAGTACCCCCCAGCAGATCCAGTCAGAAAATCCAATTACTGAGGAAACCAGTCAGAAGAAGATCAAAAACACAACTTTTATTTACCGCTGCAAATTCCATTTATACACATTTTTAAATAAGCTGGAGTTTCCCTTTTTTGAATGGTACCTATAAATTAGTATTATACCTACATAACACATTTTGTATGTTATTTTTATTATTTGAGATTTTTCTTGATGACTGTAATTAAAGTGTATTGTTATCATCAGTAGTAATAGTAGTATTACAGGCTTTCACAGTCTGTTACACCTAAAACTTCCCTGTAGTGTTACATATTGTAGCAGAACATACTGACTGATCAACACTGATATGCACTGGTGGGATTCTAAACTTATTGAAATGCAGGATGGGTTCTTCAGTACAACTGGCAACCCTTACAATTTGTCCAGATACGAGTTATAAATGTAATTCAAATCCCTTTTGACCATTTTTTTTTTCTTAAAATGCTGAATGCAGATGTGGAGCTGAAAATCTGTCTGAAATCTTGTCAGCCAAAAGGTTGTCAATTTTCAAATGGCTTAAATACAGAAAAAAAAGAAGAAAAAAAAGAAGGCCGAAGAGCAGACAAGAAGAACAGATCTTATAGATCTGTTGCATGTAAAGCATGCTTTCTACATGTGCACTTGTTTTTTTTATAGTGTATGTATATTGGGATGTCAGTAGCAAAGTTTACATAAATTGCTCCATCCTGATGCAGCAGATGCCAAATGCTGCCAAATTACATTATGTTGTTATATTTTTATTTTTTTCATACTTGATCATTTTAAGATGCAAGTTTAATGGAGTTGAGACCGTTTATGTGGGGTGTCACATTGTCAAATAATTCCGAGCGGCATTAATCAGAAAGTTGGTGTCAGTTGGAGCTTATTTAAATGTCTGCTGTCTATGGAGAATTTTCAGAGATGCTGAAAATTTTTTCCACATTACCAAAAACATTTGATTTTTTTTTTTTTTTTAATTAGCTGATGATAATATTGTGTGCTATAATGTCATATCTGTAGGGAAGCAAAGTTGGAAAGTTGTTTTCTGTCTTCACTGAAATTGTTTTAATTTATCCAGGATTTCCTGTTTTGAGATGCTGTATGTCACTGAGATCTTTCTGGCTAATTAAAGGCTTTCTCCAGGTGATTTATTGTTTCTTAAAGATGGGAACCTTCCTATGTCATTCAAACACAAGGGAGATATGCATTAGTGTGACAAGAGTGTAAGGCAAACAGGTCAGAGTTGTCACTGCCTTGTTTTGCTTTTTGAACTAGATCTTCTTTCTCAGTGGCAGTTCTGGAATAATGCAAAGCAGCACTCTGCTCTAAACACGCAAGGTCACATGTAGTTATAACTTTGCCACAATGAACAGGTCCCTTCCCATATTATTTGGGATTTTACAAATGTGCTGTAAATGTTTTTATTTGTCTTTCATTTTTGTTCTTGTTGCCTTTGTGTACCTTTTTTGCAAATACAAACTTATTTTTTGTCATTTCAAGTAGAACATCACATGAAGATCTCTTAACAAAATATAAAAAAAAAATACTGAAAAATGTGTATAAATACAAAGCTAAGCAAAGCTAGTACAGAAGATGTTGCCCCATTAACAACAATTAATTTAGTTTTTGTGAATTTACAGTAAAAAGAGGCCCCAGCCTAATGGATACCCAGTCCCCCATTGCACTGCCAAGAAACTGCAGCTTTGCTGACGACCTAGAGCTGGAGTTTGAGCGAGAAAGTGATTTGGCTCCAGCCAGCACAGTATCACAGTGAGTCGCCATCACTCTGTTGCATTGTTATTGCATTAGATCAAACCACACAGTGTTAATCAGTGTTTATGTGTGAGTGAATCTTAAGCATGAGCCAGCAAAAGATGGTCTGCTTGTATTTTATTTTTTATGCTGTTTGTAATTAACCTTTGCATTATGCCAACCCCAAAGGGCTCATGATTGTGTGCTAGAGAAAATCCCTTGTGTTTTCTGAGGCACTTACACAGCTAGAGACTGCCACTGATATAAGGAAGTGAGTGTTAAGTAAAGGCAGTATAATGTAGATGCACCGTAAGTGAAACAAATGGAGCGACAGCTCTGACCCATGGGATTCACATTCTAAATGGTGGTGTAATGATGCAGAGTGAGAACTGCACGCAGCCGTGTTGTTGGCACGATAACTCTGTGCTCTGCTGGCTCCAAAATACGTAACCAGCTGTTCTCACAGAGCAACGCCACATCAAATCCCATGCTAAATTGAATCATTATGAGGCAAACTACTATTTCTAGTAATTGTGGTGAGAGAACACAGTGAAAAAGAAATCCTTATTGGGTTCTTTTTAGTTCCAACATACATTTCCAAAATGTCCATATTGTGTAAGCACAGTACATAAGAGGAAGAAAAGCTTTGCATGTCTCTTACAGAAATTTCAAGGATTCTTGCAATGCATTGATCTAAAAAGGATTCACATTTATTACAGTTAATATCACAGTACAGCATAATTTTGAAATTAAAGACCTCTGGGCTACTGAGAGTTTTAACATTTCTTTTTCTAGAAACAAAACAAAAATGCACCGACATATACTCAAAGCAAAATAACTTGAAGTCAAGAAAAGTGCAAGAAGTAAAAATGTAATAAATTATAATTCAGAATCTAATTTGTCATTAGATTCATATGAGATTCCAATGTCATAGGAATCAAATTATTACTATTACTGGTAGTAGTTGTAGTATTTCACGTGAATATTTTTGTCTGTATTTTTCAGTGTTCAAAACAAAGCTTTATATCATCTTCTTACAATGGTATAATATGAAAAAAAAATAAAATAAAATAAAATAAAAAAATATATATATATATATATAAACACAGCCATAATTTGTTCACATTTGTTGGTACCCCATCAGAGAAAACTGCAAAGTTCCCCTAAATTTCTGACTTCTGATACTTTATTTATTTTATGGTGGACTTGGGAGATAATTGTGACTTTTTGACAATGTTCAGTAAATTAATGTTTAATTCAGTCAAGTAGCAATTTATAGCTCTGCCGTTGTTTCAACTTTCTTGTTGTAGTTATAAAGCCTCGCTTTTCCATTCAATCTTAATGTTCCATCTGCAGTAATTTAGTTAACCCTTTTTCATTGTTCCTTGAAAATGATGAAAGAGATTCAGGTTTTGATCTCATGAACTACGGCATCATGATCAAAAGCCTGTGTTGTGTGAAGCATAGCCTATAGATAAATCCCTGTTTTCTTTTTTATCCAAGTAAGCAAAAGGAAGATGTATACATAACTGTTGCCCCTAGTGATGTACTGTAACATCTTTGTCAAACTCTTGTATAGCTGCCTTTTTTGCTTCAATGCTGAAGAAGACACAATGTCATAGAAATCTAAGGCTCCAGCATCTCTAGTAGGCATTTGACACTGTAGCAGACGTCGCTTGATCACTAGATAAGCTGTGGAAATATTTTAGACAAGTCAAAAAATGTTGCCACATGAGCACCACAGCTCTCTCAAATAATTTACATGGCACATATGTGCCACTCGTACAGAAGTGATATGTCTGTCTCTCATTTTTGCTTAATCTCACACTATTTGCAGATCCTCCACTCACCTTAGAATACCAGAAGCTTGAAACTGAAAGCTAAACTGATGACATTTGTGATAAAATCTGTTAATAATCCGGACCACCTGAGGGAACTCTGAGAGAAATGAGCAGTTTCCCAGATACTCAGTTGATCTTTAAATCTAAAGAAAAAAAAAATTGAGACAAAAACGTAAAGGTAAAAGCACCCTTTTATGTCCTGACATATCAGAATTCCACATACATGAACTATTTGATGCTTATTCTACTTTGGAATATATCTAGAATTCCATTTGTTCTCAAGGAGCATTGTATATAATATTAAATATTAGGTTTAGTTAAGGCTAGGCACTTGTCATGATCGTATATCCCTAGTTTCCTTTAAACATATTAAATACCTTTTGGATAATTTTACCAAAAAAAAAAAGAAGCTATTTAATTTTTTAAAAAAAAAAAAAATATATATATATATATATATATATATATATATGCTTATTTCCTTTTATCATTGATCATTATATATATACGCTTTTAAATGTGAGTACTCCATTAGACCTGAGCATGTAAGACAAATTCCTAATGACTGAAGTTGATTAGACTGTGAGGGTCTGTGGTCAAACATGCAATAAATACAAAGAAATTAGTTCTTTCATTTTCACATTTATCACAAGATAAATCAATAGCCATCAATAACATAATCTCTGCAAGGTTGTTGAGATCTATTGAACAACCTGAACTATTGAACTACTTCTTTAAGGATGACGATGTCCTTAATCTTGGCTTAATAAGTTCATATCACAACATTCATTAGAGAGAGATGTCTTTACTATTCAGACAGCACTTTGAAAGCATTTCAATATCTGCCTACTAAATTAATAGAAAATTGGATTCTCTGCCTGGGCTTTCATTATATCAATAACCCATATTCCTTTTTATGATGGAAATGGTTTCTATAATAGCTCAGAGATTAAATTATTGACAGTTCACTATGTTAATTTGACCAAATGTTATTATAGCCAAATGTGAAAATCCAGTCTTTTAAAAGTCCATAATGAAGCTCTTAAAGACCTTGTTCTACAGCAAATGCAACTCAACAAAACATGCACAGCTCTCCCACCACACATCCTAACTCACTGCTTTTACAGAGCAATGAACACTGATAAGTAACAGCTTTTCAATAATTCCCACAACCTAATAATGCAGGATAACTGCCTCACAATCACTCTGGGCTTTTTACTATTTTTCACCTGCCTTTGTTCTCACTGTTCATCACCTTGGTAACACCAAAAGGAAGCAAGGTAATGAGGGAGAAGCTTTGATGTAGACTGTACAGGGAAGAAGAGCATGCTTGATATTTTTCTCTAACCTGATGAGTTGTGGCATAATGTTAATCTTTTCTTTGTTTTTTTGTGATGCCTATTTCCCTGAAGAAAAATCAAAGGAAAAGCACAGAGGATCCGGCTTTAATTTAATGTTTTGTGCAGGAACTTTTTGTGTGTTGCATCCACTCACAAGGTGTGTTGAGATATCAGAACTAAGAAGCTAAACAGTTTTCAAACCTGTTGTCACAGATTGACGGAGTCGCACCGAAAAGCCATTCGTGTCATACAGAAAATGCGTTATTTTGTGGCCAAGAGAAATTTTCAGGTAAGAACATATTTTTTTTTTACTATACTACGTTTCTTTTTTACTTTTGGTATCTTTATTTTATCATAATGGAATACAGCATAAGGAAAAATAGTCTTTTCAGCAGCTATTTTAAATGAGTCCAGGCTCTAGATATTAGAATACGGGAAGGGCACCAGGCTGGAAAGAGCAATATCAGTGACATAAATATCTGATCTTTGAGATTACAAGTAGATTTTGCATTGAGGACCTAAGAACTGAAGTAAAAGTATATGACTTTATTCATTAATATAAGAAAGGTGTTGTCCTTGCATGATCCTGAAAGATAAAATGAGAATTTTCAAAGTAATTCTGAAATGAACAGACGACAAGAGTAAAAAACAAAAAAAAACAGGAGAGATGAAGGTGGTTTTGTTTGTTCTTGTCTTGTTTGTTCAGCAAAGATTTGAACCAGCAGAATGTTTTCAAGGGCTTTTTGTTGACACATGTGAAAAGGGATCTAAAAGTAGTGTAGGTAAGCCAAAACAAGCACTGGGTGATAAAATCCACAATGCAGGAGCCAACCAGATTAAAAACAGAGGTTGGGAGAATATGAAGAGGGTTTTATGTTTTTTAGAATAATGCTGATGTCTTCAAACTTTACAACTGTGCAGGATGACAATATTAGGAAGCAAAGCACTGTAAGCACTTCCAAAGTTTATATAATATTATTGAAAGAGGTATTATAAGTTCTTCAAAGTGAAAATGTTAAAAACTACTTTGTAATTTAACTTTAACATGTTCTTCTTAAAACTAGAAATATTATCATTTATTCAAGGACTGTTCTGTTTTTGATGAACATGACTGATTAACCAGAGCCACTACATCTAATTTAGAGCAGCACTTGTGATGAATTGATTGAATAAAGGCGTTAGGATCATTGCCATGAACTGAGTTCAGGTCAATTAATGCTGGAAAAACATCAGTTGCTGACTAATTAAGAATCTGTTTTTCTATCTTCAATTTCCAAAGAATATCAAGGTGCTCATCAGAAGAATTTAAATTCAATGTCTACAAAATAAACTTCTTTGTGAATGCATCATACTCATACTTGATTGGCATTAAAAAAAAGTGTTTAAATTGTATGTTGAGGTGATGGTAAATCGTATCAGTTTGAAATATAAGAACTCAAAACTTTATCTGGCTTATTGTAAAGCCGCATTTCTCAGAAGCAGAGTTGAATTAAACAAAGCTGCTTCCATATATTCGGCCTAGTTTTGCAATGCTATAGCTACAATACAACAATCACATTATTGTACCTTATTACTTAAGGTACAATACTTATTGTACCTTATTACCGATGTAGTTATGTGAGCAGTTTACAGGGCCCACACATCAAACAGCAATGACCAGCATTTTTCTGATCACAAGACCTCATCAGCAGCAAACTGTAAATGAGCTCTTACAGGGTTCCGTCTGCACTGGCCAATTAAATCAAAACTGATAAAAAAAAAAATAAAATAAAAATGCTCTGTGTACAGAATTAATCTTTAGTGTGTGGGCTGTAAATGTCCCCAGCGCAGTAAATACACACCAGTCTCAGCAGCAAAAAAAAAAGACTAAAACTTTTACAGTGCTTTAAAAAAAAACCTGAAACTAAATGAATAGACCTGTAAAGTAAAGGTTTTAAGTGTCATTTAATCAATAATTCAATCAATGTTTGTTTGTTTTTTTTTAGCAAGCTCGTAAGCCATATGATGTCCGAGATGTGATTGAACAGTACTCTCAGGGTCACCTGAACCTCATGGTGCGGATCAAGGAGCTTCAGAGGAGGTATCCTCTTTAAGTAAAATGAGCTTAAATTAATGAGTTCCCTGGAGTAATGAAATGTGTTTATGATGTATATCTTTTTGCAAGTGTATCAAGAAAAACAATCCTTCCCGAAAATATCTTGGAACACGGAAGAGTGTGAGGGTGACAGAGGAAACACAGAGGGAATCTATAAATATTCTTCTGACGTTAGCTCTCTATTGTTTCTCTCAGACTAGATCAGTCTTTGGGGAAAATGACTTTGTTCCAGACGGGTTCAGGTAATAAATCACTGCACTTCTACCTGAAAATGGATTATATTAACTGTGAGAAAAACATTTCACTTAATGGTCTCTTTTATGTATTTATTCTTGTTACATTTCATTGTCTAATGTCAACCTCTGAAGACCGCGCCAGAGATAAAGGAAACAACTCAATTGGATCAAGGCTCAACAGGATGGAGGACAAGGTAGGAACTTTGTAATGTCGGTAGAAATTTACAACCCTACTTTTACTTCAAGTGGTTTGCACATTTTTATTTATTTTTTTTTTTTAGATAAAGGTCTTATATTAAATCAGACAATGTTCATTTTGTATTCATAAGTTGTGGACTTTTATGAAAGAACAACTTATGAATGTCCTCTTGAGAGAATCTTGACAACACAGTTAACTTATTAACTGTTAAACAACTGAAAGTGGTTTTGGATATGACAAAAGGTTGCTTTTTTTTTCTCTCATCATTTGTTATAACTAAATAATATGAAATGTGTGTTGACTCTTTTTTTCATTAGTTCAAGTAACAAACTCGAATATTGCAGATATTTTACAAATATGAATTGAATTCACTACCCATAATTCATCTTACAAGAGTTAACAGACACACTTAATAAAGCAATGCATGTCAAATAATTCATAAATCAGATTTTCTAGAATTCCTCAAGTTATGATGGTTCCTGTAGTTACCTGACTTATTGCTCTGTCTTAATATGTGCTGTATTTAACATTTTCTCTAACACATTGTAGACAAAAATGGTTTATATTGTGAATATATTGTGCAATCCATAATTTTAAGCTTTATTGATACTTGGATATTGCTGTTGAATATATATCAAAAATAGCGTTAGTTCCTTAACATTTGACTTCTTAAGAAGCCTTTTGATAAGTTACACACATTTATCTAAATTAATTTAACTCTGAAACATAAACTGTTGATGTTGCATACTGGCTAATCATTCTGGCAATAAAATTATGTGGCATTTATTCCCATGTTGCTTGAATGTAATCTTCTGTTATAAACAAAATCAACCCATCTAGTTCAAAATGTTTCATTTTATCAACAATGTTTTGAAAATCTCACAGATAACGCACATGGATCAAACGCTGAACCACATCGCAGAGTCCCTCACCTTCCTGCTGGACCAGAGGGATGTCGGTGGGGGTGAAGTCAGAGGCCGGCTGAGACCTCGGCTCAGACGAACCTGTAATGTCCTCCACAGCCAGGACAGCCTGCCGATGAATGACCAGCTGTCTTCTTCCCCTTCATCCTTCTCCTCCAACAACACCAACACCGTGCTGTGCCCCAACCCTCCACGCAGCTCCACTGCCAGTCAGGATGAGAGCTGCTGAAACTTGAAACCAGACATCCTGAATGCGCTTCACAACGTTTGCTCATCTGTTTATGACGGGCAAAGACGCACTGGACATATTCTCCTGCCTGTGATGAGCATATGTAGCTACAGCTGTTTGCTGAAATACTGACATGATGACATTTTGGTAAAACTCTTACCAGGACATGTGGCATGTGTAAGGATGAAAATGTATGAAGGGAGTGTAAGAAACCACTGCCTTTCAAATCATATCTGTTGGGCAACTTCAATATAAGGTTTAACTTAGATCTATTTAAAAGTATTAAGATTTCACATCTTTATTCTAGCTGTTTTTGTTTCTGAAATTCTAGTGAAAAAAATGAAATCTTGAATATTTAATACTGAATATTATCTGTATCATTTTTATTTTAATCTTAGAGTTTTCAAATACCATAAAAGCAAATGACAAAAAAGTTTTAAAATGTTTGTATAATCATTATTTACTATTTGTTTCTGCAGCAGAAAAAAAAAAAAAAACTAAACAGTTTTGCTGTCAGCAAAGACTTGTTCAGTTATATTTAGGAATCTACATTTTGTGAGAAATTTGAGGGCATCCTGCATGCATTGCACACTTAAGGTGGACTTAGGTTGTCACTTAGGTCAGGGGACAGTGAGGATCAAGATACTGCCATGCATTTGCTCCTTGGTGGGACTCTGATAACAATGACTTTGACAAAATCACAAAATACTATCAATCCACCTTAGTACTTAACAGGTACAGCCTGAGGTGAACTGTTTAAATGTTGATACTTTTATAAGCAAACTTACCTCTTGCCTTATTTTCTGCTAAATGTGATGCTGAGGTTTGTTATATTACTACAATAAAAACTGTCACAGTAATGAAAAAAACTATCCAGAAGGCTAATCGATCTCCATGTAGGGATTTTATGTTAAACAGAGGCTTCATAGCAGCCTGAGCAGTTGTCTCAGAAGGGCTTTTGGCTCACTCCCCTTACTTTTCCTTTCTATATAGTAATCATATATAAAGAAAAACTCCTTGAACACCCTTTGCTATTTAATTTTATTTTTTTATTTTATTTTTATTTTTTTTACAATTCTCGGTGGCACCTTAAAAAGAGTCTGTAGCTGTTGATTACTGAGGGAAGGTTTTGTAGCATTACCTACTCTCTCCTAAAGTTTGGCCATGACAAGAGTTTAGTTGTAGCTAACATTCTGGGTATTCCCAAACCTGTTTTTATTTCCTTTTTCCTCTGAATAATTTTGAAGTTCACAAGCTAAGACAATGTTTCCTTTTCAGGTATCAGCTTTTTGAAGAACATTCATCTGCTGGAGTCTCCCATGCGGAGGACTGTCCGAGTGTCATGGCCAGTGCTTTTTTTTTTTGTTTGTTTTTCTCAAATGTCCTTATCTTAATAACAATTGAAAACGTACTGAAGCGGAAGGGGCACATTATTTTTTAAACACTTTCTTTATAAAGGCTTTTAAGTTCAATTATACCTTAACATTAATAAAAAAACTAATATAAAAATATAAAATAAGTAAATGTAAAGCAGGAGCCAAGTTCTTATCTGTGAAACCTGCTCAAATGTACAGCTGATCATCTTATCTGTAAAACACTTGTGTAAGGTGGTTGAATAAAGGGAGCATCATTGGTCATTCATATGATCTAATACTGGATTTTGTATCCCAGAAAACTCCAGAATGGCACAAGATAACTTGTATCTTAGTCTTTCCACATGCAGAATGCTTATGAGTTCAGTCAGCCAGGTCTTCCAGAGTTTTAGAATAAACCTCTTAACAATCCTCATGCAAAGAGTTAGAGCTTTGCATATGATGCAAGTTTTTCAAAGTGCTAAGTAGTGACAGAGCAGAGTGATAGATGAAAACCACTGGAAGATGAACCAACAAAAGTTATGCAATTTTGGACAAAACCAAAAAAGGTGTGCATGAGGACCTTCACCCGCCTTGCATCTATTATGTAGTGAACATGATTAGGACATTTCTTACTTAATCTAATTATAGAGTAATTTCATTCATGTACTGAGGCAACCAAAGACAGCATTAATTGAACAAGACTTGATGTTCGTTAATATTTCATCCCATGTTTCATCCTCAATCTCAATATCAAGCTCACCTTCCCAGGCTTGTTTTATTTTTTTTAATCTTAAGTACTTAAGAAACGGACCAGCACTGAGATCAAATGTTTTGCTACAGGGGGACCTAGGAGACATTTTAAACATACATTATTCTCAGATGGTAATTTATGCGATTTCATTATAAATATCTAAAATAATTTTGATTTTGATGAGAGGAGAACAGAAAGAAGTCTTGTGGGAGACTTTTCTTAGTAGTGGGGGATGAACCAGTCTGCCTTCTTAAAGCCATATTGCCAGTACATCATATTTCTGACATTGGTGGCAGAAACGGTGGGTTCAGTTATTTAGATGTCGATACAGGCTTCTGTCAGTTAGTGGTATAACTGGCATAAGCCAGTTATAACACTTACCTTTCCAAAGGAATTAACAAGCAAATGTGGTTGTAAGTGTTCAGGGTCTGATCCAAACAGGGCAATGTTGTCTGCATATAAAGAAATGCTATGATTAGCTCCAACTGATCAGTGTGAGTTCTATTTACATATTTAGCCGTTTTGCTAGTATTTTAGTGATTATCTTAAAATCTATGTTGAACATGGAAATTGGATGGTATGATGAAGGCTCTGTTTCATCCCTGTCTGGCTTCAGAATTAGTTATTTGATTTGCAAATTTGTATTAAAATTCACTGCCAATTCGATCTTGTTCTGGGTTTTTCTACTTTGCATTGACCTGAAAGAGTTCAGTATTTCTGCCAGAGATATTTCCGCGTAAAGGGCTTCACGAGAGGCTTCGTCCAGCCTCAGTACGTTTACATTTTTTAGCCCAGTAATCCACATCACCCATGTCATCAGATCTGTAAAGCTCTTTCGTTCATAGCTCTGCTGGCTTGTTACCCCCTAAGCTGCCAAGCTAAAAGTGTATGAGGTTTGTTTGAAATTCTGCCTCCTAAAATGCCAGACTTGGTCGCAGACCTTTTGTGATAAAATCATGTTATACTTATATTTAGGTTTGAAAATATTTTGCGATGTTTGAGAGTTGCCTAAACTAATCCTATTTGATTTTTCCAAAGCTGACTCGTATGCAATAATTTGGCCTCTTATAACAAATTTGAGCGCTTCCCTCAAGTGTCACTAATTTCAAGATATTCTGTAATTTTTTTTAGCAGACATGTTTAGAAAGGTTTTGCTCTAACAGATGCACAGAAATCCCATGCGGAGGACGGTCCAAGTGTCATGAAGATTGGGGCGTGATCTGAGATCAAAACGTCATGGTATTTGTTTTTTTTGGTAATGTTTGCTATAAGCTTGGCATCCAATGAAAACAAATCAGCACAAGAAAATGATTTGTGCTTAAAAAGAGTATTTTCTGTATATCGGGTTCTGGAGTTGCCAAATGTCAACTAAATTAGTAAAGGTGATAAGATTATTTAGAACCATAAGAGTGACTCCATATTTTGTCTGCTGAGCTGTGAGGATTGAGGCAAAGTACTTTATGGTCCCCAGTTACTATTAAATTTATGTTTGAAAGGTCAGATGACTTTCAAAGGTTTTTCTAAAAAATGCTGGCTCATCGGTTTTGGGCCTGCAGATACTCAACTTTGTTACATGAGTGGAGTAAAGATAGCCCACAGATGCAATGAGATGCAATGATGGATTGACCGTTTGGTTCACATATTGTTGAAATGTGTTTAAAATGTATGCTTTTCCAAATAACTGCAACACAGTAAGTCTTGCTGGAAAAAGTGGATTGATGTATTTTATCTGTTCTGTGAGACTTCTGTTCAGATGCTCTTATAGTACGAGTCTCTTGAAAGAACAGCACATTATCAGCTAGAGATCTAAGGCGTGTGAAAGCGTAATGTTATGCACATAATTTCTGTTTACTGTAGGAGAGGAACAAGGCACAACATGTGAGGATGGGATGTCATGACTGAAGCCACCTCTAATCACATCTCCTTGGCAAATGGTGTGATGACGAGTGACAGGCCCCACCTGCACCATATACCTGACTAGTCACTGACTTGATAGCCACTCTTTACCAAACCACACTGAGGAGCAGAGTAGCCATGTGTTGTATCTTGTTCGTCTCCTTTAGGGAACAGTAGTTGTGTGCTACTAGCATTACTTTCCCTTTTAGTTAAATCAGTCAAGTACAACTCAAGTATTGGACATTTATAAATGCCCTGCAGAGCAGCCATCAAACCTGGGCCGAGCATAGCAAGCTACTGCAGCACTTCACATGCAGCGGAAAATACAGAGTGAGTTAACGTTCAAACAATAAAACTGAACAAATGTGTACAGCAAAGACCAGCTGGCCACAGTTCACATATCACTCGTCAGCACCCCCCAAGTAGAGCCCAGGAAGTTGTTTTGCCCCTGATGGAGTGAGCCCTCACACCCTGGGGCATCAGTAGATCCCTGCTGGTGTAAGAAAGAGAAATGGATTCCACAATCCAATGGGAAAGTCTGTCTGGACAGAGTCTCCCCATTGCTGGGTTAACAACACAAACCGTTGATCATGCAACCTCAGATTCTGTGTGTGGTCAATGTAAATGTGCAGTCCGCAAACAGGGCACAGGAAGTGTGACCTTTATTGTTAGCCATGGAGCTGTAGTCCAAAGGTTTAATTGTTGGCAGATGTGCTGGTTGTATTAGGTCAGAAGGTGAGGCAATGGTAGCTGATGCATATCAAATGTACCGGTGCACAACAATCACCCTATTCATTGGCCTGGTAGTTGGGCAGAAACTGATTATCTCCTGGGTGCTGAACATCTTTTTAGTGTCAGTAGACTTGCAGCATAAATAAATCCAGTGTACATCCTGGGCTCATACAAGTTTTTCTTCAAATGGCTGGTGTCGCTTCATCTCCACTGGAAATTTTCAGTAGGTCTACGTGAAGGTCCTTCTCATGTTATGTGTTGGAGGTGTTGTCTTGTGCCTGCCTTAGTATTTTCTCCGTAATCCAAAAGCTGTGAATCCTGGCTATCTAACACGGGTGCATAGTCCGCCATACGGTGGTTGTCCCAGTCTGTGTTCTCTATCAAACTCTGTGGAGAAGAAAAAATGGAAAAAAAAAATCTACAGATTTACAACCTTTTGCTTTTTCAGGCAACCCTGCCACTTTTAGATTTTAGTGCTGACGGTGCATCTTGAGGTCAATGCATTGGTGTAATTTGTGTCTCTCCACCAATTGTAACTATTGTAGTTTTTAGTTGAATAAGCCTAGTATAATGACTGCTGCCAGCCGCCTTTTTAGACACCATAATTATTTTTTTTTCTGATTCTATTTAAAACATTTATTTAGCCTTTGTACTAGAGAAGTGATTTATATGTCTAATGGTAATTAGACACTTGACATTTCCCGTATATTGTAACTGTCAGGAATACTCTACAACAATAAATGATTGAAGATTTAAAAAAGTGTATGGTGAATTGAAAGTAATCGCATAATGTTTCTTTGGCTTTTCATCTTTTTTGTTACTTTTCATTTTATCTTATTCAAAAGAAAGACAATTTGAAGAATAGCTGTTATTCAGCAACTATGCAAGCTTGCATTTGCAGCAATATTTCTTTCGAAGCTACAACAAGGGGGTGGATTCTTATACAAACGGTTAATAGTCTGTTTTTTACATAAGTAACCTTTAGGCAGCAGATGGTGACCTTTCTCCCGCTGGCCATCCATGGGGTGCCGAGACATTCCTTCACACAGCTGACCATGTGGTGAAAGAGCCTAAGTGACCATCTGCCTCTGGTGACCACAACAATAGGCAGCACCGTCCTGAAGTGTGCTATGGGATTTTGGCCTTTGTACTCACTAGGAACTGGTGAGAGGAGAATTTTATTACCTTGATTCCAGCGTGGTTAAACGTTCTGTTTTACCCCTTTAACTGATGTTTATTTAGGTAATAAATAGTCAAACAAATGTACAGGACCAGTTTGGATGGAGATTACCAGACAAATAACATACAAAGAATATTTACACTAAAACCTACCTTGTTTTACAATGGGCTGAAAGTCAATGACGACAGCTGCTTCCCTTTCGACAGTTTATTTATTTTTAAATTGAGGTTATTTGACAATGTCTAGTTGTTTTGTTTGTATTGAATTTAAATTCAGTCTAAGATACAATATGTCCAGCCATTTTTTTTTTATTTGCATGTATGTATTGTGGTGAGTCTGACATTATGTACTTAAACAGAACACCAAGACAAAATTTTGGTTTATTTACATATCACCGATTCACAACAGATTTCATCTCAAGACACTTTAACAGGCAATATAGAAATATGTTCAATTTAGTCCAATCATAAGTTCAGGTTTAAGAAAAAAAACATTTGATTTAAATAAGTACTCATTGGTTCAATCATATTTTTAATACTGTGTATTGAAGTTGAATCTGACATGACAATTGGTAAAGGAAAATATTTTGTTTCAGGAAATACACTCAATTACGTCGAGTCATTGGCTTTGCAACAGTTCATTTTCCTGAACAAGCATGTCGCAACAGTGGCTGGTTGATTTCATGGGGTTGTTAACTTTGTCACAATCCTTCATAGTAATCATACACGTGATGATGGTGTGAGAAAAGACTCAGTTTTAACAGGAACAAACCTCTACTGGAGCCTGGCTCATTGTGAACAGTCATCTGCTGTGACTGAGGGTTTAATTATATAGGGCAGACATAGACAAACAAATGAACAAGACCAAAAATGTACATGTTTCTAAAAAATAGATATTTTCTCAACAATATTAATATTTCATTTCATTTCAAAATTTCAAATTTCTGATAAGGTTACAAATTAGTTTGCACCTTTGCTGGATGCTCCCCCCATTTCATACCCATGTGTTAAAATTTTAATATCAACTTACTCCCACTTTATATACATAAACCTATTTTTGTACCATTGGGTACAAAAATGGTACAACATGGTAAAATTTCTCCTGAGAAATTTTAGGAAAACATAATAAAAAAATGGACACTTATGATTTAGTTGTAGGTCGTTTTCTGAAGATTATATAGTTTTTCTTTTCCCACTGAATGTAGTTCTTACTCTCTCTTTGGTTCAGTTGACTCCTCTGACATATAAGTGAATATGACACCAAAATAACTATGAGTGACCTCCTTCTGGTAGACAGTATTTACCTGAGCTGCACAACCATATGTCCTTGCAGCAGAGTATCTGTATGTGATATGTACATGACATTGCATTTAACTGCTGGTTGTCAAAGGGGAAAACATCAAGATAGGTGCCACTTGATGCACTGCTGGTACAAAACTCTGTTTAAAGTAACCAAAGCCACTAAAATAGTAATGGGGCAAAATGACCAGGTTTTCAGGTTTTGGGGGTATATGAAGATGATGCATTTAATTTCTGTTAATAAAAACAATTGCCATTGTTCCTACATCTAATTTTTTTCACTGATGATGCACGAGGCTTGTTGTGTGCATCTTTAAGCAATTAATTATGGTACTTTCTGGGGAAATGCATTACCTAAGGGAATTTTGACTGATTTTTGAAATGGTAAGAAGAAAGTTTCTTCTGTCCTCATTCATAAAAACATATTGAACCTTTCATTGTGTGGATTAAAATGTGTTTCTTATGAACTTCTATGTTAAAATGACCACAGTCTTCTCACAAAAGTAGAAAATATCAGGCTGAGCTGGGTCTGCTTTGGGCACATGTCATTTCTTTGAGCTTGAAAAGAGACACAAACTAAAAAGAAAAGAGAAAAAGAAGGTCCCGAGAGGGGGTGGAAGGACGTGAGAACTAATTTGCAGGTGAATTAGATGGCACACTCTCCTTTGTGGCCATTGTGCTGCTCTCTGGCCAGATGGCCTCTTCAGACTTCTTTCACAACTATAACCCAAACATAACAGGAGCAAATACACAAATACACTTATGAGGGATTTAGCCTCTCTAATGGACTAATTTGAAACTCACAGTTAATGTTAATGGATATAATTTTAAGCCTGGCAGCACATTCCTTATAACTGTGATTATGAAATTGTGCATAATAAGACCCAGAAAATGCAATTACTGTATAGTAAATTTCTTCCTTTGGTTTCTAAACATTCAGCTTCCTTTCCATTTTCCATCACTTCAGAGCGACACTTATGAACCCATTCATCTGTGGCTAACACAGAAATACTGCCTTATAAGCCTGCAGACAGCCTGAAAAATGATTGAACTGAAAAACTGAGCAAGGGGAATAACTATGATGCTTGCATTTCAGCAAGCTAAACATTATCTTATAGATACAGGTCGCTGGACTATTAATTATCAAGTTAATATAAAAAAAATAAATAAAAAAAACAACTCACAAAGGTTTTTGGCTTTAAAGGGCAAATGAAAAAAAATTATCATTTCAAGATGCAATACAAATCTTACTTTAGTAATGCTTTAGTTTATTTTACCTGTTTCACATTGATTGCTCAAGTTTAGCATTTGTTAAATTCATTGTCACATATTGCACTTTGTATTCTAATTTGGTATAAAAACTCAAAACTATTTTGAATTTCAAAAATAAAAGGGAACAGCATAATCTTCGTGTGATTTATATATTTTTTTTTGTAAAAATAGGTGTACAAAAAATCATGATAAAACTTGTTAATTAGTAATAAAACTTGAAGATAACACTCTGCATCGACTCATACAGTTATTTATGAGTTGATGGAGAATTTATTTGTAAATTAGTGAAGTGGAACATTGTTTTCTCTGAAGACTACAGGGAATGTTTCAGTACGCCAAACTAGATGGAAATGCAATCACAGAATCTGAAGCATCTGCGCTTTCTTCAATTACACCCTTTTATTAGATCTGCAATGACTGTACAAATTTACAAGTCATTAATTTATCAATTTCACAAAAGCAGCTGAGCTGATCCAAGAAATTCAACAACAATACTGACAAAAACAAAACACATGCAACTTTATTTAAATTAGCATACCCATAAATAAAATAAATACAGATAGACACGACTAAAAAATAAAATAAAATAATGGTTTCCCTCTTAATTCTTAGTTCTGGCCATCAAAAGTAGTCATGTAAACATTTTCCAAAGCATGTTCATCTTATTGTCTGACACTGAGTTTCCTTGTTGAAATTGGTGTGAAAAAGACTGATGATGCTCTGAGCTTCTACTGTCCGTCTTCTCTTTGCAAAGTAATCTGCCAAACAGAAGAAAGAACATTTTATTGATTTATAGCTCCTATTATGTAGCTATAATAGTTAATATTATAGAAATATTCACCATTATGAATATGTACTTTCACCTGTAATTCTTGCATCATTGGACTTTGCTACAGGTTTGGAGAGTGACCGCTTCCTTCTTGTAGGCGTTTTTTCAGCAGGACGCTTGAGTGTGTTGGACACACTTAAATAGTTCTCTTGGTTTGTGCCAAGGTGTTCATCATTATTGCTCTCACTACCATCATCCTCAGTTCTTGGAGAATTAACTTCAACCACTGGCTGTGGGGACTCCTGATAGAAAGATGGAGCACGATCTGTGGGTATTTCCTCCCACTGAAATCTGCCAAGCTGCGGTGTCTCAGATTGGAAGTTGAAGTTCCAGCGCTGGCTGTCCTGCGACATGATCTCCTTCAGTTTCAGTTGTAAGTCCTGACGCAGCTGGTCGTGGTCCACTGGACCGAAGAGTTTCCTGCAAACAGACTCTCTGCATCTGATGTTCATTTTGCAAGTAATTTTGAAGAAGTTTGGATGGAAAAACGCGTCTGACAGGAGATGCTGCTGATGGTCTACACATGTCCATGGGGTCCTGCAGGACGATTTAAAGGCTGCAGGGCTCACAATGTTTTGTTTGTATACAATGAATAGAGACTTCTGATTGGCTGCAGCTGTCTATACCAGGGAGAAGCAACAGAGGGGGCGAAATTGGATCATTGTCTGTTGAAAACCATTGAGACCCCAAACTCCTCCAGTTCTATCAAAGTCTGCCTTGACAAGTAGAGGTCAATTTAGAATTATCATAACAATAGTGATGTTTTTCCTGCTGAGTGCACCGTTACATAGGCTGGGTACACTTTGAATCAGGTCATTGAGAGTCACTTCTGATACTATCTAGATCTTCCGTGTTACTAAATAAACAATGAAAAATGCTAATTAACAGATGTATTGTTAAAGACCATTATAAGATGTAAACTTTGGTTGTTGTCAGACTGGTTGTTCAACAAAGCAAACCTTCAATGCAAAAATTTTAGTATTGTAACTGTTGGATGGATAATTGGTAGATTTAACCTGGTATAAATCACCAGAAATAGTAGTTAAATTTTAAAAAATGTTTAAGCTCCATCTATCTCATGTAGGGTTTGAAAAATTGCTTCTATTGTAACAAAATGTTGGGTAAATACGTGTTACCGTAAAATAGGAGGTTGTGGTTGGAGAAAGAGCAGGACACTGAGAGGGAATAGCATAGCTGTCCAGACTTTAATTCAACTTCAATTAACAGAAGAGAACCCGCCTCCTAAAATAAACAGCAAAGAAGGAAACAGCTCCCCAAAAAGGCACAGCACATTTCCTTAACTATTGATCAACTTTAGTAAATAACTGATCTTGTATGTAACTGCATTAATTGAAAAGGGAAAAAAATAATCTTACACTATTAAGATGTGTCTGAATCCAGAAAGGAGAAACAAGCAAACCAAACCAGGAAAACCACCCTCTTCTCTGTTTGAGTGTCTCATTGCATATTACATGGAGCACATTTAAAACCCTCGGCACAACACAGTTTAAATCAATGCACAGCAGACATAAAGGGAAATAGCTAGAACTATAGAAGAAAACAAAGAAGTAGATGAATTTCAACAGAGGCTGACAAGAAAATTTCAAAAGGTGTAAATCATTATATACCACAACAAGCATCACTTACCATTCACAAAGAACCTGTCCATACTCACATCAGAGGGAACAAAAGGTGGCAGGACACTGACATGAGGACTGAAGAACCTAGGATTTAACTACTGATCCCTTCACTGGCCGATGACAGCTCTAACCTCTGAATCACTCTAAGCTTTTACAAGAACACATTGTCTCCTAAAATGTCTGATGTTCTAAGGCATGTATCTCCCTTATTTGCACTTCTTGGTGCATTTATTTCTTTGCCCACTCATGTATTTACTATGTTTGATTCATCTGTTCAATGTTCTGTTTTAAAAAAATGGTCCATTAGCCAATCACATGACAGCAGCTCAACCCATTTAGGGATGGTGAGCACAACTTGAGGAAGTTCAAACTGGGCGTCAGAGAAGAAAGTGAATTTCAGTGTCTTTTGGGATGATTGTGGAAGCAAGTCGGTTGCTCTGAGTATTTCTGAAACTGCTGATCTACAGTTGGCAGCAGCTGTGTGGATGAAAATACATTGTTCACACCAGAAGTCAGAGGAGAATGGCCACAGGGGTTTGAGATGACAGAAAGGCAACAACAGCTCAGATATCTACTCTTTCTAACCAAAGTAAAAAGAATATCATCACTAAGTACACATCCTATGGAACATTCACCCAGATGGGGTGAATGGGGTGAATCACCAACATCAGACAGCATGGCATTTTATCCAAACAGGAAGAACAAGAATCTGAAGCTACAATGCCCACAGGTTCACCAAAATTTTATTTTAGAGAAAAGCTTTGCCTGATCTGACTGATGTTTCTCAACATTCCCTCTCCTTCGTGACTATAATGTTCGTGTCTTGTGTTGTCTGTTTCCAGCAGGATAATTCAGAACCTTTCACAAAGCTCAGATAATCTCAAACGAGTATCTTGAACATGTCAGTAAGTCAACTTCACTCTAATGACCATCCCTTTGGGATGTGGTGGATCAGAGGATTCATATTGTGGATGTCAAGCTGACGAATCTGCAACAACTGCATGATGGCATCAGTATAGCCCAAAATCTCTGAAGAATGTGCCTGATTCTAGTTGAATCAATAGCATGAAAACTTAGGGTTGTTCTGAAAGCAAAGGGTAATCCAAACAGGTACAAGCAAAATATACCTAAAAAAGTGACCTGTCATTGTATATTGAGGACTTAATATTTACATCAATATATTTTTTTCAGATTTGCTAAATAAGTTTTGAAGAAATACCTAGAGTCAATATGGAGGGCTCTGTCCGCATTTTTTGTCAATGCAGAAGTTGATATGGCAAAAAATATAGAAAACTCCTAAAAATACAGTAAATGTGCCACAAATGTAAAGAAAGCAGCTGGCTTAAACGATAAAGGTGTGGTCTTGATGGGAGCAGACTATGGCTAACCAACATGCAAAGTAATGGTGCACAAGAGCTTCAGGGATTGGCTAAGGGAACAGCATTACCTTCATGCCACCTCCTGATGAGCCAAGTAGTTCGCCTGAACAGAAAACTCGCAGTCTCTCCTGCTGTGGTTAAGCTGAACAAGGAGAAAAGTTTGCATTAGCCATGCCGGAGAAACAAGACACACCTTTGGTGAGTGCCTACTGCAATGTTCTTTTTCCCTTTTCAACATCATCAAAATGTCTCATATTAGGCAAATGATAAAGTATTTTCTTTAAAAGCTGTGTGCCTCTTGCAGTATTTTAGCAAATCTACTGTATGTCAACAATCATAAAACAAATATGGTAAAATCAATTTAGGATTTGGGTAAGTAAAATCGTGGGGCTTCGTCTGGGGAGCATGTAGTTAAAATTCTATTTATGTATTGTGAAACTACACATTATCTCAGGGGACTTTATATCATAGTGGTGTCCTTGCAGTCATACCAAAATTCCCTCTGGAGTAGCACTTGTAAGTTGAACGGAGAAATAGGAAAAATCATAAAGTTTAAAGGTCTTCTCACAAAATGAAGCTCAGTGAGGATGGCCTAGTGTAATTTCTGGGTACCTTGAATGGTGCAATCAGAAGGATTTGTATTCGATAAATATTTGCTGTGCTCTGATAAAGTCCTGTATTACTAATTTTGTCAAAAATCTACAAGAAATACATGAGCTTTAAAATTCAGAATAAAACAACATGGACAATTTTTAACCTCTACTTTGTTATTTTCTTCATCACTCGCATAAGACAAGGAGCTACCAAAGCTCCCATTATTGAGAAACACAACATAGTATAAACTTCAAACTGCACTTCATTCAAACTGTAATCAAGATCAGAATGGTGAACATTGAACAAAGTTTGAGGTGTGTGTGTCTGAATTTTTTTTTTTTTTTCCAAGACATGTTCTCCCCCAAACCCATATTCAGAGCATAGACCCACACGCACACAGCTCCACATCCTTTTCTCCTCCTTTTGCATGCAAATTATCCCGTTTGCATACCCAGTAGTCGTTTTCCTCCTCCACCCATACCTGTAGTCAAATAAAGCATTCCGTACCAAGCTGCCTTCATAATATCAAACAGATTACAAAGCAGATTTTAGCTTTTTTTCCCTCTGCATTATACACAACATCACTTTTCTGGATCCAAAATACACAGAGAGACTTTTTCCTCTTTTCTTTTGATTCGGACATGCTTGTCTCTTATTTTATTAATAACCTTTCATAAGAAGCTCAAATGGAAATGCAAATGAAAGTAACTGATAAAACTGTGTTTACTGAGGAACAGGGAAAATCTTATCATTAAAAAATGAGTTAGCATAATGATAGGGTGCCATTTACTTCTAGGAAAATCTTCATTCGCAGACGTAATTCCCGGTGATGTCTTTAGTGTGTCAAAAACTAGAATAAATATGAAGACATATTTTTAATTACATATTTATTGTTACAAAATTCTCTATAAGTATGAAAATTTTCTTCTGAAACAAACTATAGGACTAAATATAAATGAGCAGTTCCACACAACTCGTCATCACTGTAAGACAAGTATTTCCTGGGAAGACTTTTCAGTTTTTACCGTCTTTAAACTATGTTCTTTTTAAACCATGATGTAAAAATGTGACCACAATAAAGCCTTTTAAAACTTTTCTTATATTAAATTAACCAAATTTTGAAAAAAAAAAGCCCGAAGAGGATACGTGGGCCCCCCTTCCAATGGGCTCACCACCTGTCGGAGGGGCCAAAGGGGTTGGGTGCTGTGTGTAAC